ATAATAATTATATATATATATATATATATATATTAAATTAAATTTTAAAAAATTGGTGATCATTGGATTGACTTAAATATACATACGATTCAATTTCTTAAGTGTTATACATACAAAATAAATAAATTTAAATCTACTTAATATATATACACACACACACACCATTGAACTTGATTGGATACGAATTCTATGAAACTAATTTCGACAGTTATAAACGAAAAATCACGATTTAACGATTATTTTAACTCCGATTTTGATGATTTTTTACAGCTACACTCCTGACCCTATATGAATACAATGAATGAATTCGATCTTCAAATTAAAATATTTACACAAGTGGATACTACAAAATCTTATGTTATACTTAATGAAAGTATAAATAAACTCTAAGTGTTAGTCAATCTATTGTTTTGATGGGATACAAATTCTCGGAAACTAATTTCAACGATCCCAACCGTCAAACTTGTTTGCATATGCTTCGAGATCACATCAGCAAAAAATCACAAAAAACAAACATTCAGAGATCAAGTAACGGGACAAAGGTTTTCGACGGTTATAAACAAAAAATCACGATTTAACGGTTATTTTAACTCCGATTTTGATGATTTTTTACAGCTACATTCCTTGACCCTATATGAATAGAATGAATGAATTCGATCTTCAATTTAAAATATTTACACAAGTGGATACCACAAAATCTTATGTTATACTTAATGAAAGTATAAATAAACTCTAAGTATTAGTCAATCTATTGTTTTGATGGGATACGAATTCTCCGAAACTAATTTCAACGATCCCAACCGTCAAACTTGTTTGCATATGCTTCGAGATCACGTCAGCAAAAAATCACAAAAAACAAACATTCAGAGATCAAGTAACGGGACAAAGCTTTTCGACGGTTATAAACGAAAAATCACGATTTAACGGTTATTTTAACTCCGATTTTGATGATTTTTTACAGCTAAACTCCTTGACCCTATATGAATACAATGAATGAATTCGATATTCAAATTAAAATATTTACACAAGTAGATACCACAAAATCTTATGTTATACTTAATGAAAGTATAAATAAACTCTAAGTATTAGTCAATCTATTGTTTTGATGGGATACGAATTCTCCGAAACTAATTTCAACGATCCCAACCGTCAAACTTGTTTGCATATGCTTCAAGATCACATCAGCAAAAAATCACAAAAAACAAACATTCAGAGATCAAGTAACGGGACAAAGCTTTTCGACGGTTATAACGAAAAATCACGATTTAACGGTTATTTTAACTCGGATTTTGATGATTTTTTACAGCTACATTCCTTGACCCTATATGAATAGAATGAATGAATTCGATCTTCAATTTAAAATATTTACACAAGTGGATACCACAAAATCTTATGTTATACTTAATGAAAGTATAAATAAACTCTAAGTGTTAGTCAATCTATTGTTTTGATGGGATACGAATTCTCCGAAACTAATTTCAACGATCCCAACCGTCAAACTTGTTTGCATATGCTTCGAGATCACGTCAGCAAAAAATCACAAAAAACAAACATTCAGAGATCAAGTAACGGGACAAAGCTTTTCGACGGTTATAAACGAAAAATCACGATTTAACGGTTATTTTAACTCCGATTTTGATGATTTTTTACAGCTACACTCCTTGACCCTATATGAATACAATGAATGAATTCGATCTTCAAATTAAAATATTTACACAAGTAGATACCACAAAATCTTATGTTATACTTAATGAAAGTATAAATAAACTCTAAGTATTAGTCAATCTATTGTTTTGATGGGATACGAATTCTCCGAAACTAATTTCAACGATCCCAACCGTCAAACTTGTTTGCATATGCTTCAAGATCACATCAGCAAAAAATCACAAAAAACAAACATTCAAAGATCAAGTAACGGGACAAAGCTTTTCGACGGTTATAAACGAAAAATCACGATTTAAAGGTTATTTTAACTCCGATTTTGATGATTTTTTACAGCTACATTCCTTGACCCTATATGAATAGAATGAATGAATTTGATCTTCAATTTAAATTAGTTTTTTTAAATATTTTGAAACCCAGTGTCGCTTTTAAGCGACATATTGATTTAAATTAGTTTTTCGTTTTATAACCATCGAAAAGTTCCATAGAATTTGTATCCCATCAAGTTCAATGGTGTGTGTATATATATATATATATATTTATTAAGTAGATTTAAATTTATTTATTTTGTATGTATAACACTTAAAGAAATTGAATGGTATGTATATTGAAACTGATCCAACGGTCACCAATTTTTAAAATTTAATTTAATATATATATATAATTATTATAGTTTTTAGGGGTATAAAATTGTTACATTAATATATATAATTATTATAGTATTTTTTAGCGTTATAAAATTAATATATATAAAATTATAGTATTTGAAATATTAGGCGGGAAATTTCCCGCTTGTTTGAATGGATGGAGAGACTTAGTGTCGGTTTTAACCGACGCTAGTGTCATTAAAGCGACGCTATGTGAATTTCAAAAAGCGTGTCAGAAGTTAGCGTCGGTTAAAAGCGACGCTAGTTTCATTAAAGCGACGCTAGTTTCATTAAAGCGACGCTATGTGAATTTCAAAAAGTGTCAGAAGTTTGTGTCGGTTTAAAGCGACGCTAGTTTCATTAAAGCGACGCGAGTTTCATTAAAGCGACGCTATGTGAATTTCAAAAAAAGTGTCAGACGTTTGCGTCGGTTTTAACAGACGCAAACTAAGTACCCATATTTAAACCCCTCTCTTTCCCATTTCAACCGTGCTTTCATTTCTCCCCCAATTTCAGACTTTCTTCTTCTCCTTCCCCATTTCATCTGTGCGTCCCCTTCTTCCTCCTTTTCATTTTTTCCTCAACTCCTTCCCCGTTTGCTTTGGATCACCAGTTTGAAGATCAACATTCTGAAGAACTCCAATTCGAGGAGGAAGAGCTTGAAGGTGGTTCATTTTTAAATTATTATGATTATTAATTTTAGTTTCTATTTTGTATTCTAAATAGTTTTATGCTTAAATTGAAAATTTATTTTTGTTTCTTGGTTTTTAATTGTTTTTTTTGTATTTATGCATGTTGGATCTGAAGAGCAAGGACACTGGAAATCGCAGATCCATAATTTTTTAAAGGTATAAAACCTGAGTTTAATCTATAGAGATTAGAGCCTTAATGTTGAAGTAGTAAAGTATTGGAGCACTGATCTGATGGCAAGCATGGCAGCATGGAGTTGCTAGTATTATATATGGCACTATGGAGCTACAAAATATGTGGTCTTCGACAAAGGCAAGCACAGGAAAGCATGGAGGATGAATTTTTGTAAATTATATGGAATGTTAGATGTAAAACATTTGTATATTATGGCACTATTTTTCTTTTGAATTATTTTTATTATTGTTTGTTTTGGCCTAAAATTGAAATTTATTATTTTGATTATATAATTTTTTTGAGTTATAATTATTTGAGAACGAATCCAGAAACAGATTTGGACTTTTTTTTTAATTATTATTATCAAATGTGGTGTCGCTTTAAATCATCACTAGTTTGCATATTTTATTTATTTAATTGTTCTCTAACGTCGCTTTAAACCGTCACTAGTTTGCATATTTTATTTAGTTAATTGTTGACTAGCGTCGCTTTAAACCGACGTTAACATCAGCGTCGCTTTAAACCGACGCTGCGTAGTGGCGGATTAAGCGAACAAAGCGACGCTGAAGCCCTTTAGTGACGGTAGCAATGGCGTCGCTATTCCAATCCGACATTGCAGTGTTTTATGTCGGATTTTTGCCAAATTTCCGACAGAAATCGGGTTTCTTGTCGGTTTTTGGTCCGCCGGTGATAACCTATATTGTAGTAGTGCACCTGCCGAACTTTTAAAACTTCCCCCTAGAGGGTAAAGGGTATGCAGTTCTGCATCCAGCTGATACTTCCTTTTTAAAATGTTTCACTAGCTGCTTGTTCGAGGAAACCTAGCTAAAAAAGTTTCATGTAAACATAAAACATATTCTGTACTGCAAACATGTGGAAACGCAAACTGAAAATTGCGACGAGCAACTAATGTGTTTAATATGCACAGCCAAAAACAAGTTGACTCGCATCTGATATACCCCTGCCCTTATCCCCTACACCCTAAACATTCCCACATACTAATAAACCAACCACTTTAAATGGGAACAAAATTCCTCTATTACATGACAATTTTAGTTGTTCCTAATGACGCTGCAACAAGAAGTAAAGTTTGTTGTTTAAGACCAACGATGCCAACAACAACAACAAAGCCTTTTCCCACTAAGTAGGGTCGGTTGTGTGAATCCTAGAACGCCATTGTGCTCGGTTCTGTGCCAACAATGCCAAACACAAACAAAGTGATGATTTTTTCACTACAACAAAAATGGTCACTGCACACAATAAATTATCTGTGCCCTTTGAGGCCAAAGAGCACCAACATATGTGTCCATAGACCAATAGCAACAGTGCAGCTACTATCTTAGAGTCTGTGCCCTCTATGGGCGTCACCATTGCTAAAAGGGCACAATAATGTATGTTGTGCTGAAACACGTAAGCACAAATAAAGGTCTTTGTGTGCCCAGTTCTGACAAAATTGTCAGATGGCTGCAGCCACCCCTGGTAGCACATTTATTATTATTGTGCCCAATATGTCACCTATTTAAAAAAAATATTAAAAACCGAAATCACCTACAAATTGAGATTGAGGCTAAACAAAAAATTATTTTTTCATATAATTAAAACATCCCACAACCACAAGCATCTATAATATTACAATTTACAGAGATATTCACAACCATTGTATATAAAAACAACTAGAATTTTACATGTTCTATCCCCAACTAAAATAAAACTAAAATTATAAAGGTTTTAAGTGAATATCGGTTCTCTCAGGAATAAGAACATTAAATATTAAGGTTTTAAGTGAACCCGCACAGTTCTTTTCTCATGTTTGAGTCGGCAACCTGGTCAGGGTGGCTTTGGTGGTTGATGGGTTTCGATGTGGCCATCGCGTATAGAGAGGGAAAAAAAATGATTGCTTGCTTCTGAACTGGGTTGTTTTGAATGGCCCCGCCAAGTACCCCAAGCATCCATTTTTCTTGTACTTGCATCACCATGATCAAGCTCTCCTATAATCGCAGCAACTCCCCCATTCAAATCTGACCCTAAATCATAAATAAAATAAAATAAAATTCAACATAAAAAGAAAAGGTCAGTACGTATGATTCGAGTTCACGTTGCTCAGGGTCACCGACGCTGTTAAGTTTATTCATCATTGCTCGATCACTCTTGTTAATTTTCTTTTTCGTTTGGTTTGGTTTCGGCTTTTCTTTAACAGCGTAGGCACACAAAACCAATCAAATTCATTCACCTACGTAAGCCACAAAAGCATGAATATTTTGTTTCAAATTTCAATCCCAAAAAACAGAACCAATCAAATTCATTCACCAATTGATGCACACCGCACACAACTTTGTAACTCAATCCCTATTATTGCACACAAATTCTTGACTTTTAACACAAAGCCCACCTCCAATTCCACATAGCAAAAGCTGGGCAATCAATAATTTCAATCCTAACTAAAACTTTTAACACAATTATAACCGAAACAACTCTAATCACTTTACCTAAAAAAAGAATGGACAGAAAGTGGATGTACCTGTAATACGAAACTGGCTGAAGTGAAGAACACAAAGATTTGTGCTTTGCTGCTCAAATTTGTAGAGTGAGAGAAAGTACCCAGAACCAAAATCATATTAGGGTTGAGAAATTGGAATTTATTAGAATTAGGGATTCATTAATACAACTATGCCTCAGCCCAATTTTTTTTTTTTTTCATTTGGCCTAAAATCGAAACAACCAAAAACTTCAAGTTAAAAAATTAGAGAAATAAATCTGAAATTTTAGAGAGACAAAGTGAGGAGAGAGTAATAGGCGGAGGACCTTGGGCAAGGAGTCCATTGACGGCTTCGTTGGGGAGGACCTGAGCGCAGTTTTTCACAATCTCCTTTAAGCTTTGCACCAAAAATTAAAAGCAACATATCATGATTGAAGAACACAGCAGCTGAAGAGCACTGCCGCAGTTCCATCAAGTAACACGACCAGTACAGCAAAGCAAGAGGGAAATATGGAGTCCTCACCTCAGGCTCGTGTGAAGAAGCAGAGCTGGAGGACGCCGCCACAGTTCGAGGTGGAGCTGGACTGGTTCAACAGCTCTAAGACTCTCGTGTCTCGTTAGCTACAACAAGTTAAGGTAGGTGGAAAAAGGATAAGAATGGCGACGGAGGCGAGAGAAGGGAATCGGCAGCGAGATGAGGATAGGACGGAGGCGAGGCCGTTTGTGTCGTGTGTCACCAAGAGAAACGATCGGCTTCATCACTAGCTCGGGCCTCATCACCCATCGACTGCCACTGCTACTTCTCTCTTCGCCGTCCCGTACGCCGCTCTCATACCTGCAAAACACAAAAAACCCGAACAAAATCATATGTTTCTTAGATCTGAAATTGAAGAAATTTGGCTATGAATTTGTAGAAGCCAACTTGAGGATCGGAAAGATGATGGGAAGAGGATTATGAAGGTATAATTTGACGGTCTGTGGTGACAAGTGGAAGGCGGCGCTGTTGCCTAAAATATATGGACAGGAAGGATACGGAAAGGAGAGTGAAGGGGAAGGAAGAGACAGGATGAAGGGATGAGAGAGAAGACTAATATCCTTTTTTCATCTTCAAGTTTTTCATATTTTTTTATTGTTATTTTGCACAAAAGGCACAATTATTTTTATACGCGCCGTTTGAAATCTAAAAAGTATATAGTGCAAATAATTCAAAATGTACATTTGAGGGTGGTATTCTTATTTTATTTAAAACAAAAGCACAAAAATATTAGTGTGTCAGTTTGAAATTAATAAACAATCTTATTATTATGGACTAGGAAAAAGTAAATATGTAAAGGACATCAAAAAAACGTATTTTTTATTTAAATATATTAAATTAGAGGGCACGAAAACTGCTATCGTGTCTTTGTAAATTAATATAAAATTTTCATTTCTGATATTGAAGGGACATTTGGGCACAAAAGTCTTGATTTTCGTGCCCAATAATGTGTTTGTGTCAACTTTTTTAACATTTGGGCACAATACTTGGTGCCCTTTATAAAATGTGCACTGTTCCACCTTTTTAGTGTTCAAAGGGACACAAACTCCTTATCTGTGTCCTCAATTTTGTATCCATAGCCCATTTTTTTTGTAGTGTTTTTTTAAAGAAGAAGGTCCTCACCTCTTCCTAAAGGACAGTATGCAACAATACCAATGCCGAGTTCCCTGAGATGTTTAGGAAACTAAGATTAGAAAGAATGAACAATTACTACGGACTCTGTAACAAAATTAAGGTAGTTTCAATGACCCTCACCGACAAGTAGGAATGATTTCTTGCTCCGAATCTCTTGACCACAAGGACCACTCCAACTGAACAGCTGTTATAGGATGAACAGCGTGGGCTCTTCTTATCGTTGAAGCTGGGGCCTCTGACAGACCAATGTACTTTATCTTACCCTCTTCAACTAGTTTCTTCAGTTCCCCAACCTTGTCAAAGATGTGATCAAGCAATTTAACAGACCTCAAAGGCATGTGCATATTGTTCTGTTGTAATTAAAAGGATACACAATTCAAGAGGTAAGAAGACAAACCGTGACTTCGATGGGGATGGAGGTGTCAATGCGATGCTGATAATAGAGATCAACAGAATCGACACCCAAGCGCTTCAAGCTACTCTCGAGAGAAGCTCTCACATAAGCAGGGTCACCTCGCACCTCCTTCTTGTACCCCTCCGCAAATCTGATACCAAACTTGGTGGCCAATTCAACCTTATCTCGTACCCCTCCTTTCAGAGCCTGCTCGTCATCACTCGATTCAGCATTAATCCAAAACAAACCTAAATACCATGTTCTTGGTCCAGTAAATTCAACTAAATGCGGGACGTATAGAGTGTACAATTAACGCAACAATCCAAACACAACCCACAAAGAAATTATATCGTTTACTACTGCTGCTTATACAGAAGCATTTTTGCTCATAAGTGTTTTTGTTAAAAGTGACTTATACTATAAAAACTGCTTCCTTGAAAGTACTTGGAAGAGCTTCTTAAAGAAGCGCACCTGGCAGGCGCTTTTCCAGAAAACACTTGTACAAGCAAAAAGAAACAGGAAGCAAACCGATCAAACCCAATTCAGTTCATCCTTTAATCCAAACAAACCGGCAAGTTCAGATAGATTGAAACTTACAAGTGACGAAGTGAATCATATACATAATTAACGTTATGGCCCTTGCCAAGAAGAATTTCGTTGGTGAAGGGACCGTAGAAGTCAGAGGTATCGAGGAAGGTGACGCCGGCGTCGATGGCGTGGTGGATGAGAGTGATCATGTCTTGGTTGGGCTTCGGAGCACTATAGAAGGCGGACATGCCCATGCAGCCAAGGCCTTGTGCCGAAACCTCCAGGCCTTGCGAACCCAACTTGATCCTCCTCACTACTCCTGTCATTGCTTGATAACTGCGGTTGTTGTTTATGACTGAATTGCAAGGTGGGGGAGTGTGACTGTGTGTGTGTGTGTGTGTGTGTGTGTGTGTGTGAGAGAGAGAGAGAGAGAGAGAGAGAGATGTGTGTGTATATGTATGTATGTATGTATATATGTGATCTGAAGGATGGGGGCAGTTTGGTAAAATGAGGGTGCAGGAAAGATGGCGGTGGTGGGGCGGCAGTGGTGGTGGAGGGGCGGCGGCGGCGGAGTGGTAAGTGAAGTGAGTGAGTCATCTTCTACTTCTAGAAGTATTAAGCAAACGCAAGGGCCTGCGTTACATTGATATTGACCAAAATGGAGGATATTGTTTGTATTGTATTCTCTGTCGGGATCAGGACTGCAAAGATTCAAGTCAAACAAACATTATTTCGTAATCACAAAAGTTTTTTTATGGAGCTCCGAGCATGGAATGCGATCTTTCAGTTTAAATATCAATGGTATTACGTATTTTGACCTGTCCAATAGTGACTTTCGAAAAAAATATGTTTTTGCTTTTGAATAAACGATATTATCTAACCTAAGAGTCTAAAGACCTACTCCAATCTTTGAAGTAAAACTCAAATTTAGGTTCTAAACTTATCCCAACTTACTTCAATCCTTGGAGCAAATATGAGTTTTAACCCGAAACTCATTTATGGGGCAAAGAGTTAGTGTGGCTGGCCCACCATATATATGTATTTTTTAAGGGAGTTTTAATGAAAAGTCTACGGTACTATTCACTTTAACGAAAAACCACATTTTTACACTAAAAAGTCAATCATGTACTATACACTTTACCCTTTATTTTGTCCTTATTATTAAAATTCAAAGTTTTCAAGCCATTTTCATTAGTTTTCTTTTTTTAAAAAATTTAATATTTATAAATTCATTGAATCCAACTACTAATATTCTAATATGATCAAAACCACCGATAAAAAAAATATCTAATGGTCCAAATTTAAATCGAACGGCTAAAGTAATTTAAAAAAAAAAATTATGTTTTCATATTCTTTCATAGTGTTCCACAAGTTTCATAATGTTGGTTTAGATATTTTCATTTTCGGTTCATTTTGTTAGTCAAGGTATTAATTTGTTTCAATTAGGCTCATGAAGTTTGATTAAACTCTTCATTTTCAGTTGTACCAATTTATACTTTTCATGTAAAAGTTCCTTTAAAAAAGTTAAATCCATCTTTCAGTGTAAATAACATTAACCATCTATAACAATCCTTTATCCTTCTTAAACATATTTTTTCGTGCAGTTTCTAATCCCGCAGCAACGCAAGCAATATTTCAAATCATTTCCTAAAGTGGGAAAGAGTTGCCAGTTTTGATACTCAAACAGCAAGTTGAAATATACCAAATGTTTTTGTCTCAAAGAAAGCAATTACATACAATGTAGCATACACTACTTATTCTCGGAACCACGAGGAAATTCAGAAGAGCGTAAAGTACAAAGAGACATCACTAATACGACAGTGGCACTGCACATGCTCATGCGGCTTTCCATGAAGACAGTGGCGGAGTTTCGGAGTCCTTCCAAGTAACAGTGCCATCCATATATCTGTCACCTTTAACGGCATCGGCTGAAGCATAAGATTCAAGCTCGGCCATTTCTTCTGGTGTCAGTTTCACAGACAGAGCTCCAATATTCTGGTTAAAATTCTCAATCTTGGTGGTTCCGGGTATGGGACACACATCATTCCCTTGGTGATGAACCCAGGCCAGTGCTAGCTGAGATGGCGTGCACCCCTTCCTTGCTGCAAGATCACTAACCCGCTCGAATACTGTTTTATTATGCTCTAGGTTTTCGGCTTGGAACCTGGGTAGATACTGCAACCAATAAACCACATATATAAGCAACAGGATTAATGACTTTATCAAAATGACATGATAAAGGGCCAGCACAGTTCGTACACCTTCATAAGCATGTACAACGTAACTTTGTAACAACACAATACAGATTCCTCGGATTGTAGTAAAGAAATCAATTAAGGGAGGTTCACCTGACACTAAACTATTGATCTACCTGGGATGAACACATAACCTTAAAATATGATTATATTAAGGATGTTTATACCTCTAATGTCGAAACAAATCAGGTCCACTTCGCTACTTAAATTAGAAATCAAATTTTTACAGCATGGATTCCGCAAGAGGATAGCCTGCTAGGAGAGATTACTAAACTTCGTGAGATCATTCCTAATTTGAGGAGTTAAGGTATTCACAATAATAGCACGAGGATGCTACAATGTAATTTCCTAATTTGAGGACATAAGGATATTCACAATAGTAGCATGAGGATGCTACAATGTTCTCTAATGTGCATATCAACAAACCTTTCGGAAATCATCATTGGCTAGATTGTCGACGAAATTAGCGCCTGATGAAAAAAATCCTCTTCCTAGAGGACTGTATGCAACAATACCAATGCCAAGTTCCCTGAGAAAATAGGAAAACAAGATTAACATCTATCGCCACCTCCTTAATAAAACAATTAATAAGCCTCACCGGCAAATTGGAATTATATCTTCCTCCACATCTCTAGCCCACAACGACCACTCCAACTGCACTGCTGTTATTGGATGAACAGCATGTGCTCTTCTTATTGTGGAAGCTGAGGCCTCGGATAAACCAATGTACTTTATCTTACCCTCTTCAACTAATTTCTTGAGTTCCCCAACCTTGTAAAGACATAAAGAAATTTAAGGAATCATGATGCAAACGCTCTAGTAAAAAAAAAAAAAGCAATTATACAGTGGTTTGTTTAAACTAATTTGGATACAATACATGATTTGGAGACAAACGGAATCAAGTTGACGAATTGATAAAATATGTGACTTGTTAAAATGATAGAAGACATCGTAAATCTCCAAATAACTTCCTGAAAATGCCGATGCTTACTCACGCTGGATAAGAGTTGGTTCTCTTCGAGTACCGTTCTTACAAATACACCTGTCATGTTTTCTTAGTTCATAATATTCTATGAAGTTGTTAACCACATTGTTCTGCAATTGCAATTAAAAGGAGAACAAAACTTGTGAGTGAAGATAACAAACCGTGACTTCAATAGGGACACGGGTGTCAATGCGATGCTGATAATAGAGATCAACGGAGTCAATGCCAAGGCGCTTCAAGCTACCCTCAATAGCAGCTCTCACATACGCAGGGTCACCTCGAATGTCCCACTTGTCATCCACAGAGCTGCAACCGAATTTCGTGCCCAATTCAACCTTGCCTCGCACCCCTCCCTTGAGCGCCTGCTCCTCATTAAACCAACAAAATCCAATTCACTCCATCATTAGTCCACTCAATTCAACATCAATCCAAACAAAACCCACAAAGTAATTACATATAAATTCACTACAGGAACAAGAGTAAATCGATTGAACCCAATGCACTTGATCATCAGTTCATTCCATTCAACAATCCAAACAAAACCCACAAAGTAAAATTTATATTTAACTCTCTCTCTCTCTCTCTCTCTCTCTCTCTCTAGAAGAACAAGAATGAAGCCAACCCAGTTCATTTCATCATCAATCCAAACAATTCCAAACCCAAAAGTTACTAACAGAAACTCAGAGTGACTGATTGTGATTGTGACTAGTGAGCAAAAAAGTCAAACAAAACTTTACCTTGCCGAGAAGAATTTCGTTGGTGTAGGGACCGTAGACGTCGGAGGTGTCGAGGAGGGTGACGCCGGCGTCGATGGCGTGGTGGATGAGAGTGATCATGTCTTGGTCGGGCTTCGGAGGGCCGTAGTGGGCGGACATACCCATGCAGCCAAGGCCTTGAGCCGAAACCTCCAGGCCTTGCGATCCCAACTTGATCCTCCTCACTACTCCTGCCATTGCTTGATAACTGCGGTTGTTGTTTTTGTCTGAATTGCAAAGTGAGGAGTGAGAGTGTCTCTGTGTGCGTATGTGTGAGAGAGAGACGTGTATATATATGTGTGTGTGTGTGTGTGATATGAATGGAGGCAGTTTGGTAAAATGAGGGATCAGGAAGGATGGTGGTGGTGGCAGCGGCGGTGGTGGAGTAGTTGGTGGAGTCGTAAGCGGAGCGAGTCATCTTCCACTTCTAGAAGCATAAGTAAACGTAAGGGCCTGCGTAACAGTGATGTTGATTGAGTGAGTGATGTATATAAATTTAAATTTTCTGACACCAATGACGGTGGCTGCCACAATTTCCGGCCCTAGCGGTCAGTGGGATGTCTGTCATGTGCAATAAGGACAAAAATATAAATACATTTATGCTTATAAATATATTAGTCCACAAATTGTGGTTTAATTATTGCAGGCAATATTTGCCATCATGCATTTTAGCGACATCGGTTAAGTCCCACACCGAACGCAACCCTTGTGTTTAGTTAACACCGTTGAGTTTGGAATCATGAGCGGACTGCCAATGATAAGCCGGAAAGAGGTGAGGATGACGTCAAGTCCTCATGATAGAGTTATCTGGGGTTAGTTCAAATAGTATATTTTTAGTTTAATCTGTCTATTCGATTATCTTCCAGGGGAATGAGGGGGTTCCTCTGTGGCCCTTTGCATCGTCAACTCCTCAAATGTTCAATGAGTTGGCTAGAAGGAGAAAATATTAGTATAGGGAACACAACCCGGTATAATAATATAATTGGTTGAATTTTGCTTCCTTCCAAGTTTTCAGCCAAGTGTAAAATTACACTTAGTCTACCAAACCGTGTTCCCAATACATTGAAAAACCTCTGGGCTAGAGGTATGGCTTTAGATGCCTACTTGTAATATATTTGTCATTAGCCTTGTCAATCTCTTCATCATACGTTTAGATTATCTGGAACAAAAAAAAAAAAAAAAAAAAAAACACAGACGTAAGGTTTTGATTGACGTGAATAACACAAAAGACCGTGTTGTACAAATCATCGGGGATTTGATACCACGGAGCACAATAGAATTTTAAAAAAACTAACGAAAAGTCCAAAAAACCTTCCCTTTTAATAAAAATCCCTTTTTAAAGGTATAGTGAATAGTATTAGGGAAAGGTATAAATGTGATTTTTCGTTAAAAATGAACAGTACCGGAAATGTTTTGTTAAACGCCCTATAATTTTTGACAATCTCGTTGTCTGTAACTTATTCGTGTCTACTTAATTCATTTCACAAACTTGAGTCACCCTAGACCAAGCTACAACTTCAAACAATCTTTCTTCGTTTCAGGTTTTAAAAGCCACTTCAAACAATCGCTATGAACCCGTCTTCATAATTTTTGCTTCGTCTAAATGCGCTGCGCTCCCTTTTCCTTTCCAATTTTGAGATGTTCTCAGCATTTGTTAGTACAAAAGATTAGCATAGATATAGAAAGACAATTTTCATAGCCCCATAAGTGTAAGAACTACATCAAAAACTTCAGGTTGACTGACATGGCTATTTTCCCACCTGCTAATCCATAGAAATCCAAACTGCTCCGGCAAGTTTTCAAGTTTTAGAATTTCGTGCACGGGTGGGACGGAGAATGTTAAATAGACATATTGGCCCGCCGGAAGTTTTTGGCATAATTCATCCACTTGAAATTGAGCAAGGTCTCTATTGGGTGATTCTTAATTTCCATTTCCGTAAGGTGATGAGCACATACGACTACATACATATTACTAACGTACACATCCCCAAACACGTACAAATAACATATCAAGCAAGATTTTTTTTTTTTTTTTATTAAACACCTGCTGAACTTTTAAAACTTCCCCCTAGAGGGTAAAGGGTATGCAGTTCTGCATCCAGATGATACTTCCTTTTTAAAATGTTTCACTAGCTGCTTGTTCGAGGAAACCTAGCTAAAAAAGTTTCATGTAAACATAAAACATATTCTGTACTGCAAACATGTGGAAACGCAAACTGAAAATTGCAACGAGCAACTAATGTGTTTAATATGCACAGCCAAAAACAAGTTGACTCGCATCTGATATACCCCTGCCCTTATCCCCTACACCCTAAACATTCCCACATACTAATAAACCAACCACTTTAAATGGGAACAAAATTCCTCTATTACATGACAATTTTAGTTGTTCCTAATGACGCTGCAACAAGAAGTAAAGTTTGTTGTTTAAGACCAACGATGCCAACAACAACAACAAAGCCTTTTCCCACTAAGTAGGGTTGGTTGTGTGAATCCTAGAACGCCATTGTGCTCGGTTCTGTGCCAACAATGCCAAACACAAACAAAGTGATGATTTTTTTTTTAAAGAAGAAGGTCCTCACCTTTTCAGTCACTTTTCAGTTCCCTGTATTTGATTTTCAGGTTGTGAAAAGAAATCTTTGGCATTACGTGCTACCTCTGCTTCAACTACCGCTTCCAACACAAGGTCCGATCCTTTAACATTCTCTGTCATCACAACCACTGGTTATTATTCGGATATACATATCTGAGATGAAAAGGAAAACTGTTTACAAATTCTCAGGAAACTCTTAGGTATGTTAAGTTATGAAATAACAATAGTATATGTGTGTGTGTCAGAATAAAGGTTTGTGGAAATAGTTTAATGTGCAAGATTTTACACACTAAGCAATCAAGAATTGTATTCCTATGATGTGTGTTTAAGAGTATTACTCAGCAATCAGGAAATATTTGAAGAGTATTCCTGTGACGCGTATTTAAGCCCAAGCCCAGCAAGTGGGAAACTCAACAACCCCGAAAGAACCACCAACAATAGCGAATCAATTTCATATGGGGAATCATGCACAACTAGACTAAAAGTAAGAGCAACACCTTTGTCGAAAAACCATACAAGGGTATAGATAAAAAATGGTTACTAAACACAACCATTGATATGAAACCATAATATGTGCAGCACAGAAATTCCTGACCTCTATAACTCAAGATAATTTGGGAAATACAGAAAAGTAAGTGATCTACAAAAGAAAATTTAAGGATAAGTTGTTCCCGGGGGATAAAATAAATGATAACAAAACTAAGTTTTATAATCAAGAAGACTATTACCCTTGCGATTTGGTAGCATCCCAGTGCTTTCAGCTGAAATTGGGAGAACAATGAAAAGACCACTCTCATCATAAAGGTCATCTTTCACTGCACCGCTTTTTAAAGTGCCAGCCTTCACAGCATCAGATTCAGCCAATTTTGCATACGCAGTTGCTTGACTATGAAAATTAGGTGCGTTGGAGGTTCTCAAAGTACTATCCTGTCAAAGACAGGTACAAGGAATTCAAGGCGATGCGAAGTACACCATTTATAAAAAGAAATCGTATTATTGAAACCTTCATTACACTATTTATTGACTTCCGCTCCTCCTTGGGCTTCTCAAGTGAAATGTTGGTTCCTAACAAGTTGACATATACACTTGTAATCATGAGAGAAGCATAAAACTACTTGGAAATAATGTATGGCTGCTAAGAATACTACCACTACTCAAAGGAGCCGGGTCTTGAATATTATCAATCAGCTTTCGAGTCATAGGACCGGGGTTCATAAGTGATATGCTTCGGACTTCATAACGAATCGACTCTAGCTGAGCCAATGCATCTTGAAGCTCTTTATGAACCTAAAGCTCAAGCAAGGGACATAAATTAACACAACGGCCTTTGGTTCAAGAACATTGAAGTTATCATTACGGTGTTGTGCACAATGCATAGTTATCAATCAAGTACCTGGCGAGCTTGAGACTGCTGCATAACATTATCGAATTGGCCTCGAGCTAACTGAACATACCCGATGGACCGACCCGCTAACCTCCCTGCTGCTCTGGCAATTCTAGGCAAATCCTTTGGTCCTACAACCCATTACACATCAAACCCAGATCAATTTTTCAGTTTCTGTTTCCAGTAAAATTAGCAATCTTAGATAAAACACCAAAATCTCAGATAACCCAGAAAAGCTTTGACCTTACCAAAGAAAAGTAAAAGAATTCTGAACCAATTTTGAGAATAATGCTGTAGCTATACACATAAGATATATATATATATATAGCGAGCGAGAGAGAGAGAGAGTTTCTGTGTGTACCGACTAGAGCAGCTGTGGCACCGATCAAGAGGAAGAGCTCTCCGTACGAAATACCGAACATTTTGCGCCTTTAACTTTAATATCTAACCAGAAGAACATAAAATAAAGAAAACAAGGAAAAAAAATCCATCAATAGTCCAGAAAACTGCGACGCAAAAACAAATACCTGTCTACAAAAACTCTACCTCAAGTGGGCAAACTCCCAAAATAATATGAAAATAACCCAAACCCATAAACCCTTCCAAATACCTAGCAATCGATATAAATTTGAAACCAAGAAAAATTGGGGGATAATCAAATTTACTTGAGGAGATAAACAGGGCAATTTTCGCTTACCTTCAGTCAGGAGGAACTTGTAAAACGTGGTGGTTGATGAAGTTGTGGCGGCAGCTGTTTGGGGGTTGGTCGAATCGAATCTTGTGTTTGTGCTTCTCGGGTTATGCTCTTGGGGGTTGGTCTGCTGGGAGGAGGGTGGTCTGTAACGCCGAGAAGAGGGTGGTGCTGAGCTGATAGGATCTAGGGTTCGGTCAGGATTGGGGCTTTTCAAATCTAGGTACTTTTTTCCTTGTGGGCTGCAGGGGTGTTGCCTTGCCCTTGTTGGGAGTCTTTTCTGTCAATTTGGGGCTGTGGGTATGTTGCGCCGTGTGGGTTCAGAGAAGGTGTTATTGTCTGTGGGGGTGGGTAAGTGTCTGTCAGACGAATTGAAGGGTGAGTGCTGAAAGGAAAGGGTACGGCAAGGGGTGGGGTTCTCAAGTAAGGTTGACTTCGCGTGGAAGGGTGATGGGGTGAAATCTTGGAAGTGGCTGGGGGAAAAATTTCAGTCAACTTGAGTTTGCGGGGGCAGGGTTGAGGTGTTGGCAAGGGGTGGGGCTTCTCTATTTGACTGATTTCCTGTTCAAGGATTGTTGGGTTTGCTGGTGGGGCTTGGGGGGGGTTTTTAAATTCGTTTCGTCTAGGCTGGGGGTAGGGGTTTGCAGAGGCTGTGAGGAGTTTTGGTGGGTAGGGAGTTATGGGGAAACTGCCAAGGGGGCTTTGTGGAAATAAATACAGGGTAGATCGGAACATTGAAGCAAGGCATATAGGGGGTCTTTCCCAACAAGTTTGGTGTACCAGAATTAAATTTGGCCGGTTGGATGCATTTATGTGGGTTTTAGTGATGGGGTGCATACTTGACCAAAGCGAAGAAAAGAATCAGCTGGTAAACTGGGTGGTTTTTTTGTACAGTCTGAGGGCGAGTTCTGAAAGTAAAGGGTTTTCTACGTATCAGACTGGGCGAGTGTGGCAGCAGTGTTACAAGGTGATGGCGAATAGTGGGGTGGATGAGCTGGTGGTACAATTGAACCAGACACTGGAGTTATCGACTATGGAGCAGGGAGTCAAATTGGTGGGGAAAGTCCTTACGCAAAAACCAGTGAATAAGTGGGGAGTCAGGAATATCCTCAGAGCGGCTTGGAAAGAGTTGGGTGAGGTGGAAATCAAATGGGCAAGGGAGAATGTCTTTATTATTTCAGTCAGAGATGAAAGTGTAGCCTCAAGAATCCTTGAGCAGGTTCCCTGGGCAGTGATGAAGAAGGTGTTCTCTGTTGTGAAATGGCCTCCGGAGCTAGCTCTGGAGGAACTGGTGTTGGATGTTGTACCTTTTTGGGTTCAAATTAGGGGAATACCACTGGGTTTAGCTTCTCAAGAGAACATTCAGCGTGTAACCAAGGAGGCTGGGAAATGTTTAGCTATGGAGGATCCCGGTTACGCCAGAAGATTTGCGCGAATAAGATTATTAGTGGATACGGAGAAGCCGTTATTTAAGGGATGCTGGATTAGGAGGGATTCAAATAAGGAAACCTGGGTGGAATTTCGGTATGAACGGCTCCAAGATTTCTGCTACAAATGTGGGCGGATAGGACATATCAATACTGAATGCTCAGCGGAGATGTCTGAAGAAGGGGCGGTGGCGTATGGAGAGTGGATGAAGGCGCCGCCGGTAAGGGATGTGGTGATATCTACGAGAGCGGAGCATGTGGGCAGGGGGGAACGCCGGCAGGCGGGTGCGGTGCGAGGACATGGCATCACGTCCGTTCTGAATCATGGCAGTCTACGGGCAGCGATTATGCAAGGAAAGGAGAGTACTCAAACCTTGGAGACTGGGGGAGCATCTAGAAGTCATGGCACAGGTCAAAAGAAATGGCGTAGAAGAATGCGGGTGGAGGGAGAGGAGACGTCGGCATGCTCTGTTATGGAAAGCTTAAAAACAGCAGGGGAAGGACAGTTGGGCGAGTTCCAAGGGGTCGACGACAATCTGGCCGATTTGGGTGTAGACCCACTATGGGGTAGTAAAAGAAGTGGGGAATCGCAGCATTTGGGGTTAATTCAAGCTCCAATGAAGAAACTCAAGGGCTCGGACACGGAGGAGAACTGCCAAGATAGGGTGGCCGAATTATGGAGAAGTTTAAACTTCAAGGAAGGGTGCCTGACTGTGGAACGGGCGATATTTAAGGCGGGTGCAAATAAGGAAGACATAAGGGAGAGTCATGGACGACAGGCAGTAGTGGAAGGGGGGTCGGATAGTGCTACAGGAAAGATGGTGAAAAAGATGACGGGTTCGATGGCTCGGGGCGGTTGGCCTTCAACAGCCGCAGGCCAGCCATGAGTTATATTTTCTGGAACTGTCGTGGGCTAGGGTCGGACACGACAGTAAGGGCTCTTCATGGGCTCATTCGAAAAAAAAGGCCCTCTATGATTTTTTTATCCGAGACTAAGATGAAAGATCATAGAATTATTGGGGTGAGGAGGCGTCTGGGTTATGCAAATGGCTTTGATGTTGAGCCAATTGGAAATGCTGGTGGGTTGAGCTTGTGGTGGGAGGACAATCTGGAGGTTAGTATTATTCTTTCGTCCAAAAATATTATTGATGCTGTGATGAGAGTTAAAGGGCAAACGCAATGGTGTCGGTTTACGGGACTTCGTATAGAGCTGAGAAAAGTATGTACTGGGAATGGATGGTTAATCACTTTACCCCTACGGATATTCCTTGGATTTGCGGCGGGGACTTCAACGAATTCATGTGGGATCATGAGAAGTCTGGAGGAGTGGAGGTTTTGTACAACAAGCCTAGGTTTCTTGGAGAGTTTATGTCTTCCTCTCTGTTGATGAACTTGGGCTTCCAAGGGCCGGCTTTTACGTGGAGAGGGTTGAGAAGAGGGGATTGGGTGGAGGAGCGGTTGGACAGGGTCCTGGCGAATGAGCAGTGGCAGCAAATTTGGCCAAACTCCCTTGTTATGCACGGTACGGCTATTGCTTCGGATCACTACCCAATTATTCTCAATTCTAATCTTGAAGGGCCGAGAGGTAGGAAGATGTTCAGGTTTGAGGCGTTTTGGGTGGCGGAGGAAGAGTGCAAGAAGTTAGTGGAGAAGTGCTGGGAATGGCGGCATAATGGCAGATGTGTGAATAAATGGGTGAGAACTTTAAACGACTGCCGTAATCGATTAAGTAGGTGGGATCGCACTAAATTTAAGGGGCGGGGCTACAGGATCCAGGATCTTCTCTCCAAGCTTGATTCTCTCCAGCGAGACTGGGGTCCAAACTTTGACGAGATAAGGGAGATATCTAGGCAAATTGATGAGTTAAGATTTCAAGAGGAGAGTTATTGGTGCCAGAGGTCGAGGGTAAAATGGTTGAGGGAGGGGGATGCTAACACTCAGTTTTTTCACTCTTCAACCCTTCAGAGACGAATGAGAAATAAGATTGTGAAGCTTAGGGATGAGAATGGGAATTGGGTGGATCGTCCGCCTCAGGTACGCCAATTGGTGGATAATCACTTTATTTCAGTCTTTAGCTCGGCCGGGAGTCGTACCTGGGGTTCGCTGTTAGATTGCATTACTCCCTCGGTCTCTGATGAAATGAATGAGGCGCTAATTGCGCCGGTCACGGATGATGAAATAAAGGACGCTGCTGTGCAAATGGGAGGTCTCAAGGCTCCTGGCCCTGATGGGTTCCAGGGCATTTTCTATCAGAGCTATTGGGAGATTGTCAGGGCAGATGTGTCGGCTTTGGTCAGGGAGCTGTTTCTGGACTCTGCGGGTACAGGTTTGATAAATCAGACTCACATTGTGCTGATTCCCAAGTCCCTAATCCGGAAGTTGTGTCGCAATTCAGGCCCATTAGCTTATGCAACTACTCGTACAAAATTCTGTCAAAGATTCTTGCTAACAGGTTGAAGGTATTTTTACCAAATATCATCTCTCCTACCCAAAATGCGTTTGTGGCGGGTAGACAAATCCAGGATTGCATTGGCATAGCCCATGAGATTTTTCATTATCTGAAGGGAAGGAAAGCTAGGACTCGATACGAGATGGGTATTAAACTTGATATGCAGAAGGCGTATGATCGGGTTGAATGGGACTTTCTGGATGCTGTTATGGAAAAAATGGGGTTCAGCAGCAGATGGAGATCGATAATTAATGGATGTATTTCATCTGTAAAGTTCGATGTCCTCCTAAATGGGCAGGCAGGGAAGACGTTTGCGCCCACGCGGGGTCTCCGTCAGGGGGATCCTCTTTCTCCTTATTTATTCATTTTGGTGGGGGAGGTTCTCTCCAAGCTTATTCAGAGTGAGGTGGACAATGGTAGGATGGCAGGGGTCAAGATGGGCGGCTCTGGACCCATGATTTCTCACCTCTTCTTTGCTGATGATACCCTTTTGTTTTTGCGGGCTGATATGAATAACTGTCGGAATCTGAGGAATTTGCTGGACAATTTTTGTGAGGCTTCTGGGCAGAAGGTTAATTTGGTGAAATCCAGTGTGTTCTTTGGGGCAAATGTTCCGAAGGTGAATGCTGATCAGATGGGAAGCGCTCTTGGAATGGCGGTGGTTAACAATCCGGGGACATATTTGGGGGTTCCTGCTATATGGGGTCGATCGAAACAGCGAGGTCTTGCTTATGTGAAAGGGAGAATTATGGAAAAGCTCCAAGGTTGGAAGCAAAGTACTCTATCCCGTGCCGGTAAGGAGGTGTTAATTAAGGCTGTTATACAAGCGATTCCGGCGTACCCTATGTGCATTTTCAAATTCCCAGCTGGTGTTTGTCGGGAAATGGATGCGTTGGTAGCTGGGTTTTGGTGGGGATGCAAGGAGGGAGCCAGCAAGATTCATTGGGTTGCAAAGGAGGTTTTGGGTTTGCCCAAAGACTTGGGAGGATTAAGCTTCAGAAATTTTCAGGAATTTAATGATGCTCTGCTGGCTAAACAGTGTTGGCGGTTAATGACTGAACCGGATTCGTTGTGGGCTCAAGTGATTAAGGCTCGTTATTTCCCTCACTGCTCGATCTGGGATGCGAAGAAGGGGGGCTGTGCCTCTTGGGCGTGGGGCAGCCTCTTAATTGGCAGGGACTTAATCAGGGAGGGTTCTCATTGGCAGATTTTGAGTGGTCAGGAGGTGCGGGTGTGGCAGGATAGATGGCTTCCTTCATTACCCCTTGGTCACCCGGTGCCGGTTGGACAGGTTGCGGTTACTCCGAGTTTACGGGTCAGTGCACTTATCTGTCCGAATTCGGGGCGGTGGAATATTAGTTTTCTGCAGCCGTTCATTTCAGGGGAGGCTATGCAGGCTATTGAGGAGACACCTCTTGGGGATTTAAGTAGGAATGATCGGCTTATCTGGGATCTGAGCAAGAATGGGTGTTATTCGGTCAAGTCGGGCTACAGATGGTTGCAAAGCAGATCGATTGCAGTGAGGGATAAGCGGCGGCCTTCTGTTCGTGGGGTTCCCAAGGCGTTGTGGAAGGGGATTTGGAAGCTGGAGGTCCCCCCCAAGTTGCGACATTTCTTATGGCTTACTGTGCATAATTGTCTTCCTACTCGGGATGCCCTTTTCCGTAGAAGGGCCTCTCAGGTATCTACTTGTCCTATTTGCTGCTGTCATGATGAAACTATTGAGCACATTTTTCTTTCTTGCTCTTGGGTTGCTCCAATTTGGTTTGGTGGGGCTTTGGGTTATAAAGTGGATCGTCTGTCTCTCCCCGATTGGTTGGATTGGATTCTGGCGGTCTTCTCTCCGAATTTTTGCATCTCTGGTGATTCCAATTGGAGGCGATCTTATATTGTCTTTACTTATTGGTGTATTTGGAAGGCTCGCTGTGATTTTGTGTTCAACGGGGCGTCCATTAACCCTTCTAAAGTCTTGGCTGCTATCTCTGCGGCTGTGAGCTCTTTTTTTGGTGCGAGGGTTGTGGATGGGGCTAGAAAGGGGGGCGTCGGCAGAGGGATTTCCCCGGGTGCGCGGTGGTGCGCTCCGGCCTCTCCTTTTGTTAAGATAAATGTGGATGCTAGTTGGTCCAAGGCCTCTAAGAAGGGTTTTGTCGGGATGGTTGTGAGGGAAATGGAGAGCAAGTTTGTGGCTGCAGCGTGGTATGCTATCAATGCTCCTTCGGTGGCTGCTGCGGAGGCTTCTGCGCTGTTGCATGGGTGCCAATTCGGTGCTGACTTGGGTGTAAGGTATGTCATTCTGGAATCGGACTCCCTTGAAGCGATTAAGTGTCTCTCTAGCTCGCTGTCCATGGGTAGTTGGGAGGCTTTCCCCGTGCTGGCACGGGTTCAGCAGTTGGGGGGAAAGTTTCTTGATTGCAGATGGTCTTAGGTGCCTAGAATTGCTAATGGCGTGGCTCACGCGATTGCGTCGTTTGGTTTCACGGAGATGTGTGATGTTGTGTGGGTCGATAGGCCCCCATCTTCGTTGGTCTTTGTGTTGAATAATGACGGACTTCCTTGTCCTCATTAAGGTGGGTGTGGGGGTGCTGGGGGTGACGCCTCTTCTGGGTGGAGGGGTCCTTGTGTTTTATCCCTTGTCACTTCTCTTGTTGTTGTTGTGTTTGCCTCTCTGTAGGCCTTTAATGAATTGGGTTCTGGTGTTCAAAAAAAAAAAAAAAAAAAAAAAGACGGAAGAAGGAAACAGTGCTGAGGAACGAAGCCGCAAGTTTCTGTATACTCTACTTTTTTTTCTCTCTATCAAATCAGCAATAGTGAAGAGGGGGACTAGCACCCTATACATATTTGTAAACACCTATTTGTCGATTTTTCTTCCAAACTTATAAGGTCGAATGATTTTTCAGTGTTTTTGGCTCCGGAACACTAGGTGAAAGGGCTGGTTTGGTATGGGATACCGAACCGAAACCCTTGTCCCAATTTCTAAATCGAAGTTTTCGGGAATTTCAATTTCAAGACCGATCCCAAACCAAATTTTCAGAAATCCCAAAATAGTTTTGGGCTTTTGGGCTATTGGACTAAAACTTGACATATTGGGCTAAAATTTAACCCTCTATATTAATCGATTAATTAACTCCGGCACATCAATGTCGTCTCCACATTGTTAGATTTGCTTTATTATTATTATCTCTATATAATTCTTTCAAGATAAGGCTGACTGGATGTGACTGTGATGCATGCCCAAACAAATTTCAAATACGTGAGATGCCTCCCCATTACCACAGGAGACAGAAAAAAAAAAAATCTGAATAACTTGTTATTACCTGTGATTTATTCACAAGGTCCTCTTCTTTCCTGTAAAAGGAGGCAGCTTATGGCTTCTCAGTTATGATAGCAATCCACTGGTAAAATCCATGGCAGAATTCCCTAAATCATCACAGAAAGGTGCACCTTAGTAATTTTACATATGACTCATTTGACTACTTTTGGCATACTCAAAGCAAACAAAGTAATAGAAGACTTGGCCGTAGTCACAGTTAGCTACAACAATATGCTTCCCCCTATACACCCAAGTTCGAATCCCCCTCCCCATAGTCTATATTAGATTAGAAAATCGATCAAATACAAATAAAAAAAACAAAGTAATAATTCATGTTCTTTTCCTAAACCATACCTGCTACTATTTGATAAAGAGAATGATCTAGTAGTTTTGTGCACAATCTATTTAGCAAAATGTGCTTGGTGTGCTAGACACAATGTCTCCAACTCTTGTAGAAAAATTAAAGGGGTTCCTCATGTTTCTATTAGAATCAGGCACGCTACGTTAAGGGTACATAGAAAACACTCCTGATTTTAGTTCATTTAAATGACATTAATATTTGTAGTTTTATAGACTTTCAAATGAACGACAAAATGACTGCAATAGGATAAATAGTTCTCAAAATAGCTGCTGGAAATGAAATGAAAGAACAGAGACCAATATATTGGTGTTGTTTCCATATTCATATCGACTTTCTTTCCTGTTTCTTATATTTGAGAACAAACCAACTTGTAACTTCCACCCCATTTCCTCTTTATAATTCAGCTGCCAATAGGAATCAAATTACCAAGATTGATAATTATAGTGTAAAAGGACTCATCCTTCTGATCTATACAAATCAAATGAAAATCACAATCCGCAAAAAGTTCTAAACGTTGGTGAGAAGAACATGTTTAGAGGGTAGAAACGCTAAAATTTCTAATACTATCGTTCAGCCATTACTTATCTTCTACCTCCATATCAGTTCCAAGTGCTAAATTTCACAAACCCTAAATTTCAAACCCTAAATTAATTCCAAAATTTACCTGGAATCTGGATGAAGAAGTCGAGAGAGATCAGAGAGGTGAGCGGCGCCGGTGGCCGTGGCTCTGCCTCTGTGCCATGAAGGAAGGCTCCTCCACAGTGAGGAGGGTCCGAGGGATGAGAAGTCGAGAGAGAGAGAGAGATCAAAGAGGTGAGTCACTTGTGTAATGTGGGTGTGACCGGATTCTGAGGTGAGGTTGTCTGAGGTGAGGTCGAGTCGAGAGACGGAGAGAGAGAGTGACTGAGCTGAGTTATCTGAGGGTTTGAACTTTGATTTGTATTCATCGGTTGAAATTAAATCTCAACTAAATCGGACGGCTGTTACAATTTTAAATATATATTTAAAATTAAATAATATATTTTTTTTCGGTTCCGTTCGGCATTACCGAACGAATGAAAGTGTAAGACCAATTCTCATACCGAAAATTTCAGGATCATTTCGGAGATTTTGGTAAGGTCAAAGCTTTTCTGGGTTATCTGAGATTTTGGTGTTTTATCTAAGATTGCTAATTTTACTGGAAACAGAAACTGAAAAATTGATCTGGGTTTGATGTGTAATGGGTTGTAGGACCAAACCCAGATCAATTTTTCAGTTTCTGTTTCCAGTAAAATTAGCAATCTTAGATAAAACACCAAAATCTCAGATAACCCAGAAAAGCTTTGACCTTACCAAAGAAAAGTAAAAGAATTCTGAACCAATTTTGAGAATAATGCTGTAGCTATACAGATAAGATATATATATATATATAGAGCGAGAGAGAGAGAGTTTCTGTGTGTACCGACTAGAGCAGCTGTGGCACCGATCAAGAGGAAGAGCTCTCCGTACGAAATACCGAACATTTTGCGCCTTTAACTTTAATATCTAACCAGAAGAACATAAAATAAAGAAAACAAGGAAAAAAAATCCATCAATAGTCCAGAAAACTGCGACGCAAAAACAAATACCTGTCAGGGAGGAGCTTCACCGGAGGGGAGATGGGATTGGGAAATTACTGAGATGCCAGTCTGCGTAGCGGTGCGGGCATGGTGGCTGTGGGGTGGGCCGGAGGTACAGTAAAGAAAGAGGAAAAACGGTGAGACGGGGGATGGGGATCCTCATTGTGAGGATAGTCCGTTGGTAGTAAACGTACGCTTAGAAATCATTTTAAATTTTATATTTAAAATTAAAAATAAATAGTATCTAACGAAAATTGATTACACGATTTACGATAAATAGATACAATTAAAGAATCATTTGGATTATCGCAAAGAGAAGATGGAGAAGATCCTCGTTCAGATGGGTTAATGATGAGTGACCAAAATAACTAGATTATTATTAAGTTTTGATTAACGTATTTTTTTTATTAATGATACATCATCGATTTATAATTTAGTCTAAAATATTAATTTACCTAGCATTATCCATTTTAGACGAGCTATTAGTCTAAATGTGATGAGTAATGCTACACTTAGTATCTAGTGGTATTACCATTTGTATTATCTCTCTAATAGAGGTAGGATTCACCAACGCTTGAAAGTTTCATCTCTATTAAAGATAGATAGTACAAATACATGATAAGAGTAACATATTTTATGTGATATTTTCTAAGAATTAAAATGAATTTTTCTATAGTCTTTTTTTTCTTTTTTTCAATTAGACCCTTTTTAATGGGTGTTTATCAAATAAGGAAAACTAACAAAAAATTTAACAAAAAAAAAAAAACTTTAGTTTTAATGACAAATGACAAATAAAAGTGTAGTGAATAGTACTAGGAAAATGTGAAAATATGGTTTTTCATTAAAAGTAAATAGTATCGGAAATGTTTTGTTAAAACTCTCTATCAAATATAGATAAAAACTAGTGCTCAATTTTCCAAAATATCAGCTTTTATCGAAAATTTTAAATATGTTCAAAATCTAACTTAAATAATTACAATACCATTAAGTTTAATAATCAAATAAACTAAAATACCAAAATCCTATTAGGTGAACAATTAGAGAACCTGACAGCAAAATCAAAACCCTATTAGAAGAAGAAAAGTCCTACATCTCATCTTTTATCTCACTTGTCTGTTTTTTTTTTTAATCTCAATCAGCATATCATTTTAACAAGAATTATTGTTGATCATTATATTAATATACAGATCATTTATGTGCAAATTGCTTTTATTGTTTCTATGCAGATTTCTTTTTGTTGTTCAGTTATTCTTTTGTTTGAGCAATATGTATGTATATGCATGTGATTATGTAGGTATTGTCCATCACAGTTACTCATTTTATTTACATGATGTATCTCATGTTGGAGTTGTGAATTTAGAGGAAAGAGTTGTACTTATACATGCAGGCAATTTGATCTTGATCAACTACCTTGCTCACATGCTTGTGTTGCATGTAGGTAGGGATAGTAACAAGGCGGATTAGGTTCGGATGTGCCATTCCCATACTTGAACTCGTTTCTTTTCTCCAAACTCAAACCTGTAGAATCCTCGAACGGATTTTCCTCATAACCGAACCTGTCGGGTGACTGATTTTAGATCGGGGAATGGTTTTCCCTTTATGATATTTATATATTTATTTATATTATTAACTAAATGAAGAATATTAAAAAAAAAGATATTAAATAAATTGCTACTATTAATACAATTGATACAATGCATCTAATAAGTAAGATTAAAAATTTATATTACTAAGAAAACATTTACACTCTTGAAAATTATAAGCATATAATTCCTATTATTAATGATATAAAAGTAAATAATTAATTTCATATTTAATAATGCATGATTAATAACAACCCATTTTCATATAATAAATATTTATATTTTTTTATTCATAGATGAAATGGTTCAGTTTCGAGAATGGGTTTGGGGCGGATACCCCAATAACCATAACCAAGCCCGAAATCGAAACCGAAACCGAAAAATTTACCCAACGGTTTCCCATAACCTTAAAATACCCGAAATTTTATGCCCAAAACCGAACCATTCGGATCGGTTACCTGTAGGGATCAGATTTGACGAGTTAAATTGCCATCCCTACATGATGTAGATATTGACAAATTTCACGTTATCCTATGTGTTCTCATTATTATACTACAAACTTTTGGTCATATTTCTCTTCTTTGTTTTTTATTTCTACTGCTCTCTTCCCCTGCTTTCAACCTTGATTTAGTCTATCCCTCTTGCCCAGTTGGTGTCCCTCTTCTCTGTTATTCTTTATTCTGGTTTTCAGTCATGAATATTGTGGAGATCGTGTGTCGAGCTTCGGCGTTTTCATCGGCTCAGGTGTTTCCAACACCACCACCTTCTCCGGCTTATCTATCTTTTTCGGTAGTGTTGTTTGTAGGTTTCCACGGACTTCATCCCGATAGCTAGCTTCCTTTGTGTTGTTGCTGGCTATCCATTCGTTGTGGCTGTGCTCGTGGAGCAGATCGGGGTAGGATGTTGTATCTGAAGAGGAGATAATCGGTAAGGGATGAGATATTAGACGGATTGAGGTTGATGCAGTGGCGACGGTTGCCGTGGATGCTTCTAGCATCTGTAAAGTTGTTTGTGTGTTTGGGCTGCAACAGTTGGTTGGTCCTGTTGTATTGTGTTTTGTCTTGGCCCACTTTTTGCTTTTCCATGTGTTTGTTTTGGGTCTTTTGTTGTATGTTTGTTTAGTTTTGGTTTGTAATAAAAGTTGCACTTTGACCAAAAAAAAAAAAGAAAAAGCTATTGGCTAGTTGGTGATCAGATCGATTGGACAGTGACTGATGATGTGCAGGAAAGAATTGTCCTTCCACTAGTTACATGAAGAAGATATGGTAGGCGCAAAATGAAAAGAGGATCTCATCACGTGGATAAGAAAAATTTAACTCGGAAGTGTTCAAAATTTGATTTTTTTGTACCATAGATTGGGACTTAATATTTGGCCCTTCCTATTACGCCCATGTAGTATGTAAGAGGGGAGGGAAACCCTAGTTCTATAAAAGGAACCTCTCACCTTCACTTTAGAAGGATGGCAAACCCTAACCTCTCCAGCAACAAACCTCTATGTACAATGTAACTCTCAGTTTACATGGTGAAATTGAATCTACATCAATGTGGACGTAGCCCCAACTTGGGGTGAACCATGATATATCATTGTGTTCTTGTATGGCTATGATTTATGGTTGGATTTAGGTTGGTCCAAGATCAACCCGATTTCGTGCATCAACATGGTTCGAATGGCCATTGTTGAAAATCTTGTTCCACTTCATCCTACTTTATAAAACTCTTTTTAAATTTAGGGTGTGGTGAGTAAATATTTTCTTTTGATCATTTTATTGTTTATTTTGTTTGTACTTACAATCCTTTAAATTGAAGACAACTAAAGTTAAATTTACTTTTATTTCTTTACTCCAGTAGTTCACTTTCTGCTATATGAATAAAGTATGTAACCATTCTAATATTTTGTGGGAACCATGCAAGAAAGGTTTCTTTGGTTATTTATTAAAAAATAAATTTGAGAAAATCCTTCTTCGAAAAAGAAAAGGAGAAAAATATTAGTGAGATCAACACTTGATTATACATAGCACAAGAAGTCTTTTAGTCAACAACTTGTTATTTATGTAAATTGAGGGTATTTGTATTTATTTAAGTGAGATTTTAGATATATTTGAAAGTTTAAAAAAAATTAACATTTTTGAATAAGGGCTATTTTTTTGCTATATTTGATCAATTCTCCTACTTAACGGGGATACTCTTTTGTCACCAATTTATCACGTGACAAGCTACTATTGGACGAATAATTCACGTTTTAAGCAAGTAACAACTAGCAATTATTAATTTTCAAACGACATCACTAAAATGATAAATTAGTCTTAAGAGAAAATCTCTCCTTCATACCGAAATAATATGGTTGTTGAGAACTGACAAAAGATGAGATTTTACGTATGCTTATAAGTTATTGAGTATAAGAGACCTTACACATACTTGTAAGTTGTTGAATTTATTAAGTTACTTCTCATATTGCCAATTGATTTTAGAGTTCTGTAAATAGAACCCTCAACTTTCTTCGATGAATTTGCTTTTATCATCAATTTGTTTCTTTCATTTCCCCTTCCCTTATCTTATTTTTTTCTACTTGGTATTAAAATTGAAGAAAACAAAAACAAAAACTGAAAAAGGCTCAAGCTTGATCGGTGCACGATGCTTGACGCATTCTCCAAACTCCTGGTGTTGCATGCAATACAAGTACAACTGCGGTATGGCATTCAACGTGACCGCAAAGCATATAAAGCTTACACTTCAAGTATGGATGTCTCTTCTTAGCAAATCACATTTGTCACCTTTCTAGTTTTGACCTTTTCATCATTTTAGACCTGAACATTTTATTTTGGCAATTTTAGCCATGTAATTTTTTTAGTAAGCATTCAAGTCCTTGGTTTTATGTAGAATTATGACTCACTATATTGACGTGTGAAAATTATTACAAAGCATATAGGGTTGTATTAATCTCTAATGAGGTAGGAATTTTACCCTATTACAATTAGAAACTACATTCCTATATTACATGCTACAATCACGGAGAGGATTTCGAAGCAATTAATACTAGTCTAACTCCCTTGCAAACTGGACGAGCCAAATGAGACAAGTTTGAAACAAAGTAGACCATGACGAGGCTAATGAAGAGCTTTAGTGAGAAGATTGGCCCGTTGATCAGCTGATGGAATATAACAAACACGATGACTACCAATAGCAACTTTTTCACGTACAAAGTGATAATCAAGATGGATATGACGCATGCAAGCATGATGAATTGGATTAGTTGCAAGGTAAGTGGCACTCAAATTATCATAATGCAGTAAAATAGGAGAAGTCATCCGAACCCCAAGTTCACCAAGAAGAAAGCAAATAGGCCCGTAGTACGTCAAACCAAACCAAACAAAACTAGATGACTAGAATCGCTAACGTTGAAATGGCGGGGCCTCAAGTGAACAAGAAATCAAACTACAAGGACCAAACATAAAACTTATCCTTCATAAATATCATCGTAATCAACCAAACACAAACTTAAAAGAATTCCAATCAACCAAAAAAATGAAAAGCAAAGGGTCCTCATCATCTCAGATTCAACAACAACCACCTGGCCCTCTCACAACCACCACCTCATCATTCTCCATTGAATCCATTGAATCCTCAATCCAACATCTCACAAGGAGCTGGCACAGAAGGCAACAATGGCAGAAGTTTCTCTGCAACAACTCCACACAGTTTCAAGACCTTAATGTTAATAGAGCACCATGGAGGACTCACTTGGCAAATTTCCTCGAGTCCAAACCTGTTCATACTATTTGCATTTCGTTGCTGATTACTGATCTCATCCTCACCATCCTCGAACTCTCCTCATCTTTATTTACCAAGTGCAACACAGCACCACTAAACAAGAGCAGTAGGACACAAGAAATCTGGTACCATTGGGTGGGGATTGCTATTCTCGCCCTGCTTTCGGCGAAGACGGTGGCTCAGGCCGTTGCGCTCGGTATGTCCACGTTTTTCAGGCGTCCGGGGTACATGGTCGACGGGGTTGTTTTGATGGGTGCTTTGTTTTTAGAAGCGTTTTTTGAGAGAAAAGGTGGCGGGCTGCTTGTTGTGGCCAGTTTGTGGCGTGTTGTTAGGGTGGTTGAGAGTGCTTTTGAGTTGAGTGATGAGGCCATTGAAGCACAGATTGCTAGTGTGGTGTGTCAGTTTGAGGTGCTGAGGGAGGAGAATAGGAGACTTGCTGAGATCATTGCTGAGAAGGACATGATTATCCAGAAGCTCCAGGAAGAATTAGAGCAATATTGTACTAGTCAATAGTCATGCTTCTTGGAACAATTCTTCACCCTATAATCACTGTTGTCAAAATTACCGGCAAGCGTCGCCTAAGCCCCACTTAGGCGTTAGGTGGTTGGTCACGGTCACGATTAGTTCTTAGGCGTTTGAAAATTAAAAAAGATCGCCTAGACTCGCTTAGGTGTCTATCTAGCTGCCTAAACTGGCCTAGACACCCGCTAGGTCATAACTCTCACTTAAATAGAAAATCAATAACTTTTATTTTGCATTCTATTTTTTCAATAAAATGTAAGAGACTTGTTGAATACTTAGATGAACACTCATTATATATTTGTTTCTCATGTTTTCAATATGTTTTAATACTTTATAATCTATATGTTATTTTATTTTGCAACTTAAGTATACAATTATTTGTCTTTTAAGTATAAATACACACTTATTTATACAATATATAATAAATTTATTTAAATTCGCCTAGTTCGCCTAGGTCCCAGCCGAGCTATGTAGGCTCTAAACCTTAGCTCACCGCCCGACTAACACCTAATGTCTTTTAGAACTTTACTTATGATAAATGGATGAAATTTGGCATAAAAGAAATTGTTAATTTACAGTAGTAATGGAGTTAACTTGGCCCTTTAAGATTAATGAGGAGTTACTCAGATTTACGTGATTTCGTGCTCATGATCAAAACTCTCCTCTTATTAATCACTCTATAAAGATCTTCTATACAAATACGCGATCGTTTAGTCATCAAACTATATGAAAACATATGAACAAATTCGATAAAAAATACTCACGTGTAAATTATTGGTGTCAGAATTTCTCGTTGATCAGATGTGATCGATCTCATCCATGTAAAAACCTAGAAAGAGAAAGAGTCGCTTAGACAAGAGCTAGCAAGCAAACGAGAAGGAGAGTCTATAAAGGCGAGACAAGGGGTTACTACCAACTATCTATCTATTTTGTTAGATCTCTTATTTTTATTGACTTTTTACAAAGATGATCTTTATAAATTGATTTATATTATAAGCGGTTCTAATTATTAACGCAAAATTTCATAAATCAGTCGCAAAGTATCTTTGAGGAGGAACTCCTTTTTCATCTTAAAGAGTCAATCCTTTCTCGTTTTTTATTCCACTTAGGGGGATTTCGCTAGATCGCATGAACAACGACAATGCGACATGTATGGTATCAATCCTCATCTAGGTCAAGAATCCATCGAATAAGATATCTAAGGGTCACCAAGTAAGGCTCATTCCTTTTTTTTTTTTTTTTAAATGATTCAAAGTTGTGTATAATTTATTTTATTATTTTTAGATCATTATTGCAAAAATTAAACATATTCAAAATTATTAAGATATTTTGAAGTAACAAAAAAAATGGACGAATATGATGTTATAACGAAAATACCAAAATGACCACTATTTAACCATAAACCATGTTTTTGTTGTTCAATATTTTAATAGATAGAGTATTAAGTAAGAGGAGACTGAGATAAAAGTCAATCTGCATTTTAAATAACGTTTATGTCCTTATAAATTTCTCAAGTGGACATCACGTGATCAAGATGGACGAATTGTTAGATAGGAAATTAGAAAATCTAACCGCAGTGAGAAATTGGAGGTAATGGACTAAAATTAAAGTCTAGGAAGAAATTGGTAATGTTAACGGGAGACTTTTTACTATGTCTGGAATACAGGGCTGAATATCCCATATATATGTCAGTATATGATTGGAGGAATTTATTTTTGGGGAAACTTGATATAAGTCCAATTTTTTGAGCCAATAGTAGGAATAGTCCAGTTTATTAAAATAAGTCCAATTTGTTATATTTAATTATTTAATTATCAATAATTATCTGTTCAATGATAAGATTTATTATAAAAATCAAATTTCTTTCCAATTATCTCTTTGCTTATTTCTTTTTATTTATCTTTTTGTTATTTCTCGTTCTTCCTCCTACTTTAAACCCCATTTATAGATTTTATTTTTAATTTTTGTAATCGACCTATATTACAGGTTAATTATATTTATCTACTTATATGACAGATTTTTTTTTATAATCAACCTGTCACAGATTAATGTGTCTTACTTGTAGGTATGTTATGTTTTTTCTACCCTTTAATTAGGTTTCATATCTCACGTGTAGGTATATTATATACATTCATATATTTGTTACTTGAGTTAGGGTAGAATGTTTTGCAGATAAATTTATTTTAGTTTTGTTACAAGATATTAAATATATTCTCTTGGAGTTGGAAAATGCATAATATTAGAAGATTTTAATTGATTTTTAATATTTTTAGAAAATATAAAATGAGTATAAAAGAAATAAAAACATATAATTAGATAACTGGACTCACTCCTAAAAACACTCTACGATTTTGGACCTGGATCTAAAAGCCCCTTTATTTTTTCAAGTGTCTTTCAAGGATGTGATGTGGGGTGGGAAAAATTACCGAAAATTCCAAACCAAACCGAAAAAATCCCGATTCTGAACTAAAAATCTCAAAAATTTCAGTACCCAATTCCGAACTGATCCTGAAATTTTCGGTATGAGAATTGGTCTTACACTTTCATTCGTCAGAACCGAAAAAAATATATATATTATTTAATTTTAAATATATATTTAAAATTGTAACAGCCGTCCGATTTAGTTGAGATTTAATTTCAACCGATAAATACAAATCAAAGTTCAAACCCTCAGAGAACTCAGCTCAGTCGCTCTCTCTCTCCGTCTCTCGACTCGACCTCACCTCAGACAACCTCACCTCAGAATCCGGTCACACCCACATCACACAAGTGACTCACCTCTTTGATCTCTCTCTCTCTCTCTCTCTCGACTTCTCATCCCTCGGACCCTCCTCACTGTGGAGGAGCCTTCCTTCATGGCACAGAGGCAGAGCCACGGCCACCGGTGCCGCTCACCTCTCTGATCTCTCTCGACTTCTTCATCCAGATTCCAGGTAAATTTTGGAATTAATTTAGGGTTTGAAATTTAGGGTTTGTGAAATTTAGCACCTGGAACTGATATGGAGGTAGAAGATATGTAATGGCTGAACGATAGTATTAGAAATTTTAGCGTTTCTACCCTCTAAACATGTTCTTCTCACCAACGTTTAGAACTTTTTGCGGATTGTGATTTTCATTTGCTTTGTATAGATCAGAAGGATGAGTCCTTTTACACTATAATTATCAATCTTGGTAATTTGATTCCCATTGGCAGCTGAATTATAAAGAGGAAATGGGGTGGAAGTTACAAGTTGGTTTGTTCTCAAATATAAGAAACAGGAAAGAAAGTCGATATGAATATGGAAACAACACCAATATATTGGTCTCTGTTCTTTAATTTCATTTCCAGCAGCTATTTTGAGAACTATTTATCCTATTGCAGTCATTGTGTCGTGCATTTGAAAGTCTATAAAACTACAAATATTAATGTCATTTAAATGAACTAAAATCAGGAGTGTTTTCTATGTATCCCTAACGTAGCGTGCCCGATTCTAATAGAAACATGAGAAACCCCTTTAATTTCTCTACAAGAGTTGGAGACATTGTGTCTAGCACACCAAGCACATTTTGCTAAATAGATTGTGCACAAAACTACTAGATCATTCTCTTTATCAAATAATAGCAGGTATGGTTTAAGAAAAGAACATGAATTATTACTTTGTTTTTCTTTTATTTGTATTCGATCGATTTTCTAATCTAATATATACTATGGGGAGGGGGATTCGAACTTGGGTGTAGAGGGTGACTACGGTTAAGTCTTCTATTACTTTGTTTGCTTTGAGTATGCCAAAAGTAGTCAAATGAGTCATATGTAAAATTACTAAGGTGCACCTTTGTGTGATGATTTAGGGAATTCTGCCATGGATTTTACCAGTGGGGCTATCATAACTGAGAAGCCATAAGCTGCCTCCTTTTACAGGAAAGAAGAGGACCTTGTGAATAAATCACAGGTAATAACAAGTTATTCAGTTTTTTTTTTCTTTTCTGTCTCCTGTGGCAATGGGAGGCATCTCACGTATTTGAAATTTGTTTGGCCATACATCACAGTCACAGCCAGTCAGCCTTATCTTGAAAGAATTATATAGAGATAATAATAATAAAAGCAAATCTAAAAATGTGGAGACGGCGTTGGTGTGCCGGAGTTAATTAATTGATTAATAATCTTTCCTTTATTTGAATTTCAATATAGAAAGTTAAATTTTAGTCCAAGATGTCAAGTTTTAGTCCAATAGCCTAAAAGCCCAAAACTATTTTAGAATTCCTGAAAATTTGGTTTGGAATTGGTCTTGAAATTAGGATTCCCAAAAACTTCGGTTTGAGAATCGGGACAAGGATTTCGGTTCGGTATCTCATACCGAACCAGCCCTTTCACCTAGTGTTCCGGAGCCGAAAACACTGAAAAATCACTTGACCTTATAAGTTTGGAAGAAAAATCGACAAATAGGTGTTTACAAATATGTATAGGGTGCTAGTCCCCCTCTTCACTATTGCTGATTTGCTAGAGAGAAAAAAAAGTAGAGTATGCACAAACTTGCGGCTTCATTGCTCAGCACCTTTTGCTTCTTCCGTCTTGCTCCAGTTTGAATCGACACACACCTCTTCCTTCACCACCATATTCTTCCACATCGTTCTAAACCCAAAACCCAGACCGCTGTCTGCTCATCCAAAATCCAAACAGCCGCCGCCACAACTTCATCCACCACCACGTTTTACAAGTTCCTCCTCACCGAAGGTAAGCGAAAATTGCCCTCTTCATCTCCTCAAGTAAATTTGATTATCCCCCAATTTTTCTTGGTTTCAAATTTATATCGATTGCTAGGGTTTTGGAAGGGTTTATGGGTTTGGGTTATTTTCATATTATTTTGGGAGTTTGCCTACTTGAGGTAGAGCTTTTGTAGACAGATATTGGCTCTCTGGGCAAAGTTCTTGCCTTTCCAAAATGTTGAGGAGGTCATTGAAACTAAACTAATTGATTAAGTTAAAAAAATTTATAATCTTTTAAAACACTATTGGACAATTTTGGCATTTGAATTTTGATTGCAGTTGATTTTTTTTTCACAAATTTTGGAACGACGAGATGGGATGTATGCTGTGGTCTTGAATGATATTTTCTTTGGCATATCGCTGTGGTCGGAACCTGGTTGCTTTTAATCTGAATATTATTACATTTTCAAGTCATATCTTATGCGATTGGTCGTGTCTGTACTTTAGTACACGGTATGACTAAGTGAACATAATGGCAGGAAGAAGACTATGGTGATCCTTTTTAGATGGAACATGTTAATTTGCAGTCTTCTGTGAAGATTATCTGTATGAAGACTATATGTGTTGCTATTCCTTCCTAGAATGTTTTTGCATGTTAATGCTCTCATATTGTTTTAGAATATTCTGTCATGATGTTATCTTCCTAGAAAATTAGGAATGTGTATTAGTTTTTTTAATCGTTGATATCTGCTTTTTTTGGTTGTACATATAACTCTTAAACGTAGAGTTAGTAAAATGCAGGTGCAAACTGAACGGCTAATCAATGTGGGAAACTTTTGGAAATGTATATAACTTTAACTTAGAAATCTCCCCTTTGGATTGCACATATGCTCTTGATGTAAAGTAAATAGAATGTTAATGTAACTTAAAGACTTATTTTACCATGTTGGTTTAGCTGTTCTGTTAATTTTTGAATTATTTAGATGAATGTATTGATTTGTGGTTTATGGAATTTTCAGAAGCAAATTATGTATATATGTGTTTGTGAATGCAGTTAAGCTGTTGGTAGATTTTGATATCAATTCATTATTATGTGCTGTTATCCAAACTTTGTCTCCTTTTTTGGAAATGATTTATAGTTGCTGTAAACTACGAGTTTAAAACCCTAAAAAATTCTCTAATTTTGCAGAAGCGTTTGGAGGGACTTTTGAAACTGATTGATCGGTCCATCAATCAATCAACGGTGGACATGAACATAATCCCAGAGGAATGGAAATCTCTGTTCCCAATCTCATCAGTCTTCAAGCCTCCTCTCCTCCTCTCAAACCCTTCACTTAAACCCATCCTGGGTCCCCTCATCTTCAACCCTAAACCGAACTCCGCCGCCGTCCTTTTCTCTTCCTCCTGCCTCCTCCCCCATCTCCCTCCTCTACCCCACCTCTCTCTCCCCCGTTTCCTGCTCACCTCCTCCTCAGACTCCGCCCCTCTTCCCTCCACCTCCCATTCCATCGCCTCTCTATTGGGCCCCCACAACCACAAACACGACGTCGTCTCTTCCCTCCTCCTCAACCGCCTTGAGCTCCTCCAGTGCCCGCAGATTAACTCCATTGTTGTGTTCTTCCCCACTGGCCAGAACTCTGACCAAGTTGGGTTCTTGCAGTTGGTGCTAAAAGATTCGACCTTTGGTGTCAAAGCTGATGAAAGCGGCAAGGTTTTGGGTTTGAGGGGTCCGTCCAATTACCGGATTTCGAGGATTTCAGTGAACCCGGTTCCTGGGTTTTCAAGTTCAAGAGGTAATGGTTCTTCTGTTACAATTGGGTATTTGTTGGCTTCTACTATGCACTCTGTCCAGTGGTTTACTGTAAAGGTTGGAGATACAAGTTCGAATTTGGGTAATAAAGTTAGTTTAAATTACTTGGGCAGTAAGGTTTTCAAGACTTGCTGTGTTGTACATGCCTCTTGGAGTCCACATTTACAGGAAGAGAGTGTGGTTTTGTTAGAAAATGGTGCTTTGTTTTTGTTTGATTTGGAGTCTCGTCCGAAAACCCATAATTTTAAGTTTAAAGGGACCAGATTGAAAGTAGTATGGGATAATGGCGATGTTTCGAGTACTTCAAGAAATTATAGGTGGTTGAGTTGTGAATTCAGTTGGCATCCTAGAGTTTTGATTGTTGCGCGTTCGGATGCAGTTTTCTTAGTTGATTTGAGGTCCCATGAATGTAGCGTGACTTGTCTGATGAAGATTGAGATGTTGCATATGTATGTCCCGGTTGAAAAGGAGCAATTCCTTGTGCTTTCAAGAACTGCTTCTGATGATTTTCACTTTGTTTTAGCTTCTGACATGTTATTACTTCTTTGTGACGTGCGCAAACCATTGATGCCGGTGTTGCAATGGGCTCATGGCCTTGATAAACCAAGCTATCTTGATGTGTTTAGACTGTCAGAATTGAGGTCACACTCGAGGGAGGACATGTATAAGTGGGCTTCTGACTCAGGTTTTTGCATTGTGATGGGGTCATTTTGGAATTGTCAGTTTAATACCTTTTGCTATGGCCCTTCCCTCCCAACTCCAGTAGGATCAGTTGCTTCCAAAGTAGCAGAACTTCGGAAGTCATTTTATGCATGGGAGCTACCTTCAGATGTTTTACTGCCGGGCCACGAGTGTCATTGTGGAAACTGTATATTAAGAGAAGAGTTTGTAAAAGACGCTCTTCCTGAATGGGTTAATTTGCAACAGAAGAAAGAAATAGTTTTGGGTTTTGGCATTGTAAACAAAGAATTGTCTTCTCTGCTTTCTGAGCCAGATGAATTCGGTGGTTTTACATTGATCAGGCTTATGTCCTCAGGGAAGCTAGAATTACAGAGATACTGTGCATCGTGGGATCCTGTAAAAAAGGTAGAAGAATCGCATAGGGAATCACTGCATTTTAAGGATTATTTTCTGGATTCCCTAGCTGATGAGGAATACAAATTCCCTAGGAGATTTAAGTACCTTAAACTGGACTACCTCTGTGCTTATCTAAATGATAAGCTTGATGAAGTCTTAGATACAAAAATGAAAGTTCCCTCTAAGATTGTTCAAGGGACAGAACTTTTTAGCCCAGAATACCATGAGCTTTTATGTAAAAAGTTACGGGCTTGTGGTTTTGGTCAGTTTAGATCATCTCCTGCAGTCACAAGTGTTTTAAATGACATCAGCTTGCCAGCAAGCATACATGAAGTTGTTTTGAAGAGATTGTGGTCAGAATTACCAATGGAACTTCTGCAACTGGCCTTTTCTAACTACCCTGAAATCCTTGAAGTGCTTGTGGACGAAAAGAGGTCGGCTTTGGAATTCTCTGCCGTACCGGACCAATCCCAGTTGCCTCCTTTTATTTTAAGGAAGCCTTCATGCCGCAGCAGTAAGTGGTCACAGAAAGTGAAACCCAGTGATGCCCTTGTCGGTCCAGTTCTTCCTCTTCCTATATTGCTTACACTTCATGAACTTCGCAATGGGTGTCTGAATTCGCAAGATGAACAGTCAGGTAAATTTTCAGTAGAGGTAGAAATTAGTCGCAGCTGTAATGAGATCATGCAGGTCGCCAGTGAAATGACTGTTTCTAAACTGGACCCTGAGATTGTTGATGAACAAGCGGCATCCCTAGCTAATGATGGAGAGAGACATGGAGATGCACTCAACAACCGAAACCTTTCTTTTCATACCAGCCAGTTGCAGGTACAGGATCTCCAATGGACCATATACGGGGACAAATCTGTCTTTAAGGATGACAGATTTGACACCGTAATTTCTAAAGTGTCTGAGAAGAATCCTGCTCCCAACGGTAGTGAGGATAACGTCGGACTGGAACTGTTTGATGATCTTTGTCCAGTAGAGTTGAAGTTTGATGCATCTGACATGAAGTTTAAGCAGAAGGAATTGAGTGCATATAATGTATTGAAGAAACAATTTGTAGAATGGCAAAACAGTTTTGACTTGTACAAAGAATTCCGCTCCCATATTGAATCAAATAGCTAATACATTACTCTCTGAATTTTTTTCGTGTTCCTGCAATTTTTTTCTTTCCATTTCTTTAAACCTCCGTTGTCGACTTGTTCTTGTTGGCTTTAGTTTTGGAGTAACGATGAGTGGAAGAACGCAGGTGGATGTTATCGATACGAGTAAAATTTCACTTGTACAAGATGAATTGAGAAGTGGAAGCAGGTTTAAGAGGAAAAGAAAGATACAATTCTTATCTTTTATTTCTCATAAGTTTTGTTGAAAGTGAGCAAACCGTCATGCTTTCGAATTGCTGCAAAAAAAACGGTTGTTTCAAGCAAACGCAAGATTTCACACATGTGCATCCATGGCAACGACAGGGCTGCTGTTCGCTCAACGATGGGAACAATGATATGCCACGGCCCTGGGGGGGAAGGGTCGCTCAACGACGAGAACAATGATACGCAATTTGCCTTCTGCACTTTTAGCATTTTGGTCTCCGTTCTTTGTTAGCCCTTTTGATTTTCGTGCAAGCTCGTTGTTGTTTATTATGCGAGCTTTTCCGGCATCATCTGCTGAGCTTCAGCTTCGCTTCCGATATTGGTTCAACTCACTGTGTCCTTGAATCTGGCTCCTTGCAAGCTCTGCAGTTTCCTTCCCAAAATGATTGTTTTACGTTGGATTGTAATGCCGTATGGTGAAGGAGATTTACATGCTCTTTTCATGGTTTCGTTCTAATTCTTTGCAGTTTCGTCCTACAACATTTACCCGAGCAGCTCATAGAGTGTATCAGTTTGCCTTCTTGTATCGAGTGGAGAATCAATTATAATCCTAAACAAATTCTTGTACACAAAGAACCCAATTAATCATTTACGTTCAGCTCAAACATGCAATTTCTCCTTAACTCGTCGTACGATATTCAGCTTAAAGGTTCAGCCGTCAAGAGTTTAGCGTATTCACAGAATCAAAGTAAATGAGGATTAGTTAGTTATAGAAAGACCTTGGAGAATGAGTATGTTGCTGTTGGCAACGTCACCAGTAATCGAGGGAGCAATCGTTAACCTCGCCTCCTTTGGTTCTGCTCCTAAATTAAGCTTGAAGATCCTGAGTACAAGTGCATAACAACCACCCCCTTGTTATAACATTTTATCACACGCCCTAGATTTCTTGCAAATATTCCAACAGTTCACAGACTCTCGGCGGATGCAGTTTCATTTTTGTACCTTCTTACAAAATACCATACTGCTAGGGATGGAGAGTAGGGAACAGTTGACAGACTCAAATATCAAGATTCTATACACAGGCCATTACCCGTTTCATCTTCTGGTAATCGTTCATCCGAAAGCTGAAAATTAGAGTAAGCTTGGGGGAGCACAAAATGTGGGCACCTGTCAACCACATATATGTGATGTAGGTGTAAATGTGCCTCAAGGAGAAGAGATCTTAACCTTCTGCACTTGGGAGAAGTCAGTATCATCAGAGGACGATACACCAAAGTTGCCGCGGCATCCCTTGTTCCTTCCTAGCTATATAGTCTCATATCTGTTAAACTTTTTGCCGATGTACGTTGGGTACCCATAATATTGACAGCCTTCTCATTTCAGCCTCACCGCACACAAATATTGCACAGAATATGAGATCCGGAGCTACAGATCCTCCATCACCAAATGCAGGCATTTGTCCAACAAATTTTGCCATGCAATTTGCAAAGGCCACCAGTAGACACCGAATGGAACCATACAATCGATGACAAGTTTGAAGATGAAATGTGATGGGCGTGCACTTCGTCATACGGATAACGGATAACGGATGGAGGAGAATATATATATCAGATGCGCTAGCAGCTTGTCGCCTGTATATTCGTGGATGTGGGATGGATGAAACTTTTTTGATTTGTCAGGACTGAGGTACCAAAAGAAAGATAAAATCATAAGCACCAAATGCGAATGCCTGAGCAAGCATGCAATCAACAGGCTACAGATATTCCAACCTGAGGCAGACATAACCGCAAAGTTAAAACAACAAAACAAACAGGACCTCCTAATGCAATCATACAAGTAAACTAGCTCTGCTTCTCACAGTCACAAGACTCACAACCACAGAATTCCGGGATCGATTTCTCTCTAGCTATCCGAGTGATGGAATGGCAATGGCATGCATTATTCAGTATTATTTGGTGCTAATCTTATGCAGAAATGTGGTTTCCAATCAATATTTTGCAGACATCTGCAGAAGCTCTTTCCCTTGCATGTATGTCCTTCAAAATCTAAATTTCTTTTTCTCCAATGGATCTGTGGCAGCAACGGAAATGGAGATTGAAAGGGAGGAAAAAAGAAGCTCAAGGTGAGGAGACATTCTACCGTGCTGAGAACCGGACCGCATGGTCATCCAACAGCACGTATAAAACACCTCACTTTCCATATCTTGCTCTCGCCCGCCCTCCGGTCCACGCCCTTGTGCCGGGTGGCCATATATGCCGTTCGGACACAAGAATTTCTCCACTTGAGGAGGCTAGGACAAGTTAGGCCTGACCCCATTTCTGGGTGCCCCTATATTGTCAACCACCCCTCGGTCTGTCTTCTCGTTTATTTTTATTTTTATTTTCCAGGAAAAGGAAGGAAAAAAAAAAAAAGCAAGCCCCCAACCCAAATAAGTAAAAAAGAGAGAAAAATAACTACAAGTAGCGCCTCTTCGACCTTCTTCTTCTACTTCGTCTCCTTCTTTCTCTCTCTCTCTCTCTCTCAAAGTCGACTCACAAGGAAACAATCTCAGTCCATACAAATTTCTCTTCCAATTTCCATCTATAAAATTCTTCAGATTTCCCAGAAACAGAAATGGTTCTTGCACAACTATTCTGAAGATATCTCTCTCTATTAAATTCTTCCGTTCCATCTATTTTTCCACATATGTTCATCTCCTTCTCCTTCTCTTGAGCTACACACACCCCCTTTCCATTCCAAATTCCAAACCCTTTTGAGCTTAATCACCGTTGTTTTTCCTCTGTAATTTCCAACCCAATGTCACACATTTCTCTCCCTTATCTTATTTCGTTTCATTAATTTAATTAATTATCGATAACGCTCCTTGTATTCTCCTCAACCCCACCTCACCAGCTGTGGCATAATTTGCGCTTTATTTTCTCAATCCTCGATCGTTTCTTTGGCTCAAAGGGTTCTTGGGTTGCTTTGGATCTAATTCTTGTTCCATTATCCCATATTGCTCCGTAAATTTGAAGTGGGTTTGTTTTGTTTGTGCCCAAAATTAATATTTTGATTGATCACTCATGCTTGAATCTCAGCTGAAAAACCCAGCTCGGGCCGGGACTGGGGTTTCACAATCTCTGCAGAAACAAGTGGCTCCAAATGATAACCCTGGTCAACCAGAATCGCCCTTCTCCATAAGGTGATTGTTCTTCCCATCTATAATTTATATGTGGGTTTCTTTTTATGGAATGGGTTGAATATGTTACACTTGTGAACAAATTTCGGTTCTCGTCTATGCTGTGTATGTTTATCAGAACTTTCACTGTAATCGGTATTTCATTTCAACTAGGTTTCCATTTGTATATTACTTTGTTCCTTTCTGGGTGAAATTTTCAAGGCTGAAGTTCATTTAAAATTTTCATTCACCTTGTGTGCAATAGTAACATATGCATGTTAATGAAATGAGTTGCATGTCAAAGTTGTTTGCTCATAAAAGTCAACTAGGTTGACGTCGTTTGTAACCATTTCAATTTGGTTTTGCAGACAGTATGTTCTTGATTGTCGCCAGAAAGATGTATTTTCTAACTGGCCATTTCCAGAGAAATACTTGCAAATTTGTCTCGACCATGGTATTAGCGATGCATTGCCGCCCTTTGAATCCCATACTTCAGCTATCAAATCGATCAGAGGAGCGGTAGGTTTGAATAGTACTCAACAAGATGATAACAATGCTGTTGACTTTGAAAGCGGAGTACCAGATATCATTGAGGAGACTGAAGATGGGAGTAAACTATACTCTGACAATGAGGAAGCAATATCAAAACTTTCAAATCAGCACTGCCATTTCTCTCCTTCGAATAGTAGTCGTGAGCGTGAAGAAAACAAGGCGGACTTTAGTTCCCACATATCATCCAATAGCATAGTTTCAACTGATCAACCTTCAACTACAATACCAAGTTCACACCTTAATGTTGTTGGGTGCAATGAAACTTTGACTTCTTCTAGGAAGCCAAGGCATATGAAAAAACGACACAAGGGTAAGCATAAGAAGAGGTCGATGGGGAATATCTTAGATGTAGCCAAGCCTTGTACACCGGAGGATCTCCTTAGAATTAAAAGATTGTGCTGTGTTTCAAGCGTACCTCTTGAGAACGGGGGTGAAGGAATTGAGACTTTGATCGATGCTAAGCAAGATTGCAACTCTGATCTAACCAAGGATTACTCGAGTGAAAAGCCTGAGAGAGATGGTAGTGAAGCAGCGAATCTCAGCATGCAGTCCAGCAAAAAATTTGTAGTGAAGTTCACGTTTAGCGGTTGCAAATCGAATGTCTGAAACATATATTAAAAATATCGCACATTCTATGAGGTAAATCTCAGCTTCATTATCTGTCTCCCTTGATTGACTATCTATGCTCATAAGTTTGAAGGATTTAGTTACACTTGATTTGATTGCATCTGCATGCACCCATTCATAGTCGTACAGTTTATAAAATGGTCTGAAACGAGAAATGTCTGATTTGATATTTCATTTCAAAAACTGTGTTCCTAGATTGTTATCTAATACATATTCCTATAAACAAAAACAATAATGATACAGCTAACATCTATAAGCATTCTCAAAGCATGTATATTTTCCGGCCTTCCCTTTGAACATGATACAGCTAACACTGATAAACATTCTCAAAGCATGTACGTTTTCCAGCTTTCCCTTTGAATATTGTGAAATTCTTGTTTATCAGACTTCATATTTTCACTTTAGTTGTAGTGGTTCCGAACTCATTAGCTCTGCTGTAAGTCATGTTATCTGTCAACTTATGCAGGTTTGTCCTTCATGGCTTAAGATCTCTGTGCAAGAAAATGGATTTTGTCAAAATTTATTCTTTTAGTATAGTTTAGTTAGAAAGTCCAGCACCAAGAACTTCTCGGTTGGGCGTGACGTACGTTATTTAAAGGATGCCTGCTCGACGGTGGGGTGCATCCAGCTGTTTATCTCAAACCATATCCAAGCTAAGGAAAACACATATGGCCTCTTGCATTTCCAGCCAAGGTTCAGATTTCCTCCGGAGAGCACGCCACAAAATATTGCCATTGCCATATGATGCCAACTTATTCATCGTTGAGTTCCACGGGATTGAGATAGCTGAGTGGTCATGGTCATCTTTTCAAGTCATTTTCTTTCCTTGATGAATGCCACCGAGCTAATGCACCTGTTGTGACATGTCAGAAACCTATACTTGCTCACTCAAAATGTCCTTCTATGACTCGACGATAACTCAACAAAGTAGATGGTTCCATTGCCCTCAAGCAGTTAACAATCTTATTGACGAGACAGTGTTACCGTAGCAGTTTCTTCTTTTATTTTCTTTTGAGTGGATTCCCAGAGAATGTACTTGTACTAGGGTTGCTCACACTTTGTCATCTTTTACTCCTTGTCTTGATTCTTATTTACATTCTAATATTATTGAGAATCTGAGGAGTGTTAGTGTTACTTTGGTTTCGCTGAGTTTAATTTCCAGAAGGCTGAACAGAAGCAAGAACAAAAAGACAGAGGAAGCTGAACCGAAAAAGTTTTCTTTCTGTTCTCTCTTGCAAAAGTATTGCAGAGGAATAATCTTTGTACAGCACACACAATGCGCACTCACACTGCTTTACATTTAATTGATGGCCTTAGCTTTAGGACCACACAAAAACACTACTTTTAATCTTAGTCACTCATCAACCTAATTACATGGATCAAATACCACATGGCACTCATGGCCTTACATCATTTAACCTTACACTTGGCAGATATGCTCAAGTGAATACACACATTAAAACTCACCTTATTTCTAATACTTAATCAGCTATAGACTTATAATTCAACACTCCCCTTTAAGTCTTGAGCTGATTTCACTCCTAGCATGCTCCTGAGATAATTAAACCGATCTTTAGGCAGAGGTTTTGTGAAGATATCAGCAAGTTGCTCATTAGTTGGACAGTACACCAGATCAATGATGCCATCCTTCAGTGCATCCTTGATGAAATGGTATCTTCTGTTAATGTGTTTGGTCTTTTGATGGAACACAGAGTTCTTGGTGATTGCAATTGCTGAGGTGTTGTCACAGTGCACTGGAGTGGCTTCAGTTTGAAATTCACCAAAATCTTCAAGAACAAATCTCAACCAAATGGCTTGAGTAGTTGCTTCTGAAGCACTAATGTACTCTGCTTCTGCAGTGGAAAGAGCAACACAATTTTGCTTCACAGATGCCCAAGAGAATACTCCACTGCCAAAGGAGAAAGCATAACCAGAAGTACTCTTACTGTCCTCAATTGATCCACTCCAGTCACTGTCACAGAACCCAATTAACATTGAGTTCTTACCTTTCACATATTCCAGACCATAATCAAGTGTGCCCTTAATGTATCTTAGCACTCTTTTAGCAGTTCCAACATGCTTACTGGTAGGGCAGTGCATAAATCTGGCTAACAGACTAGATGCATACATAATATCGGGCCTGGTTGCAGTGAGATATAAGAGACTTCCCACCATGCTTCTGTATAACTCTTCACTTGCTGCACCACTTCCATCATCCGTGGTTAACTTCTCAGTTGCAACCAATGGAGTAAGTACAGGTTTGCACTCCTTTAGACCAAATTTGTTTAACAGAGAGCTTGCATATTTCTTTTGGTGGATGAAAATGCTTGAAGTTGATTGAATTATTCCCATTCCAAGGAAATGATGGAGAAGACCCAAATCAGTCATCTCATACTTTCGTGTCATGTCTTCCTTGAATTTTTCAAGCATTTGTTTGTTGCTCCCAGTATAGATTATGTCATCCACATAGATCGACACAATCAAAATGTCTTTCTCTTCTGCCTTGATGTATAGTGTTGGTTCACTTAAACTTCTTGTGAAACCACATTGTAAGAAATATGTATTGATCTCTCCATACCAGGCCCGTGGTGCCTGTTTTAGGCCATACAAAGCTTTGTGAAGTTTATATACCCTGTCTTCCTCCCCTTTAGCTACAAAACCATCAGGCTGCTCCACATAAACCTCCTCCTCTAGAACACCATTTAGAAAAGCCGACTTGACATCAAGTTGATAGAGTTTCCACCTCTTTTGTGCAGCCAATGCTATAAGGGTTCTGATTGTATCTAACCGAGCAACAGGAGCAAAAGTCTCATTGTAGTCTATTCCTGGTTTCTGAGCATATCCCTTTGCAACAAGCCTTGCCTTGTTCTTTTGCACGGTTCCATCCAGGTTGAGTTTGGTTTTAAACACCCATTTTACTCCAATTACAGGCTTGTTACTTGGCCTGTCTACTAACTCCCAGGTTGCATTCTTTTCAATCATGGAAAGCTCATCCTTCATAGCATTCATCCAAGATTCATCCTTAACTGCATCTTCAAATTTCTCTGGTTCTATAATGCACAGATTGCATTGAGCAAGTACATCATCCAGCTTTCTCCATTTTAATGGAGTATGATCAAATGTCTGAGTGTCACTCACACCTGCACTTGACTGAGAATTGTCCTGTGTATCATCAATACCACTTGCAGCTTCTTCCAATATACCAGGTGATAAACCACTTGAACCTTGAGTGTCATTTTCTGCATTCTCACTTCTTGGTGTATCCACAGTGTCAATTTCATAAGTAGGCAGTGACATATATCTTTCTGTGCTTCTTTCCCAATTCCAAGCTGAGTTTTCATCGAACACAACATCTCTTGACAGAATCAGTCTCTTAGAGAGTGGATCAAATACTCTATAACCTTTCTCACATTTTGCATATCCAACAAAGACTCCTTTTATACTCTTGGGTTCTAGCTTGTGTCTTAACTCGGATGGAGTATGAACATAACAAACCGAGCCAAAAACTTTCAAATGAGCAATACCAGGTTTCCTTTTGCTGTAAGCTTCAAAAGGTGTTATACTATCCAGTGATTTGGTAGGACATCTGTTTAACAGATAGACAGCAGTATGCACAGCTTCTGCCCACATATAGTAAGGCATTCCTTTATCATGAAGCATAGACTTGGCCATTTCAATCACAGTTCTGTTTTTTCTTTCAACCACTCCATTTTGCTGTGGAGTGTAAGAGAGAGACAGTTGCCTTTGGATTCCCTCTGTGTCACAGAATTGCTTGAATTCATTTGATAAGAACTCCCCTCCTCTATCACTCCTTACACATTTTACCTTCATTCCACTTTGCAACTCAGTCATGGCCTTGAATTTCTGAAAACAAGTAAAAGCTTCAGATTTGAATCTAAGGAAATACACCCATATCATCCTGGTTGCATCATCTACAAGCAACATGAAGTACTTGTTTCCTCCAGTAGACTCGATTCTCATTGGTCCACACAGATCTACATGAACCAATTCAAGTGGAGCACTAGCTCTTTGTGCTTGACCACTAGGAAACCTTTCTCTGTGTTGCTTACCATATTGACAGCCTTCACACACTTTGTCATACTCATCCAGATATGGTAATCCATGAACCATGTCATTATCCTTCAATTTCTTGATTCCACCAAAGTGTAGGTGGCCTAATCTTCTGTGCCAAGTCAGAGAACAATGAGCAAAACTGGTCTTCAACACAAGTTGTTTCTCAGGCTGTAGAGATAGAGGATAGCACCTGTTTTCTTTCATTTTTACACAGATAATTTGACATTTCAGAGAAGGACCATCAAAAACAGTACACATATGTCCACCAAACACAAGATAATATCCGTGCTCATCCATTTGTCCTACACTTAATAGATTCTCTTTCAACCCAGGTAGGTACATGACTTCTCGAATGTATTTTCTTCCTCTATTAGTCTCAATTTCCAGTGATCCCATTCCTGCCACATTAACTAACCCTCCTGTTGGCATTTGAACTTTCCCTGCAACATTTGTATTCACATCAACAAGAAGATCAACATTTCCTGTCATATGATTACTGCAGCCACTATCTATGTACCAATCTCCATTAACCTTAGTCTCAGCAACTGCAGAATTTACAAAAAATAAGTTTCCTGTTACTTCCATTTGGCTTGCACAGTTTGCCTTTGGAACAGACTTTCCAACAGTACACTCTCTGGCCCAATGACCAAATCTATCACAGTTATGGCACCTGGATTTCCCCTTATATCTACATTCACCATAATGAAACTTTGAACAGACCTTACACTGAGGTTTTACACCCTCTTGACCCATAACCTGTGAGGAAGTACTATTCTGTGCAACATTTGTGAATGATTTCTGCTGAAACTTTGGTTTCGAATCCCATTTCTTACCCTTTTGATTCCAATTTTTCTGTGGTTTAAAAGTACTAGACTGAGCATAACTTCGATTCTGCCCTTTTGAACTAACAGTAAGAGAAGAAAATGCTCTCTCAGCTACATCTGAGGAATGCAAATCAAACCTCTGCTCTTGACTCTTCAATATAGCTAGTACCTCTTGCAGTTCAACAGATTCTAAACATTTGGTGTTTTCTATCACTAAGCATATAGGATCATATATCTTAGTGAGACTGATTAACACCTTCTGAACTAATCTCTCATTTGACAGAATTTCACCAAACGTCTTCATTTGATTTATCAAATCATTTAAACGAGTAAGATACCCAGTCAAGGATTCATCATCACGCATTCTAGTGTATTCAAACTCTCGTCTAAGGTTCTGGAGTTTCACAGATCTTACCTGATCCCCACCGTGATATTCGCCATATAACAGATCCCATGCCATTTTTGCTGAGTCTGCGTTTGCGATTCGAGGGAAAATCTGGTCAGAGACTGCGTTTTGAATGATTCCGAGAGCTTTTGCATCTTTCATGAAGATTGCAGCCATTTTCTCATCATCGTCAGCATCAACATCTGTATCTTCATCAGTCTTAGCTTTCTTCTTCTTCGAATCAGAAACCGGAATCCCATTTTCCACCAGATTCCACAGTCCATATGACTTGAAAATTGTAACCATTTTGATTCTCCAGAACTCGTAGTTCTCACCGGAGAAGATCGGGGTCCTCACTTCAGCACTCCCAGATCCAGCCATCGTGAGCTTGTGTGAATCCAGAAACACGTAGTTCTTAGATTACAGATAAGCTCCGGCAAACTTCACCGAGTCCAGAAACGGTGATGTTTGAGCTCACAGAAAACACGCCCAGATCTAATCGAAACAAGGCTCTGAGGCCATGTTAGTGTTACTTTGGTTTCGCTGAGTTTAATTTCCAGAAGGCTGAACAGAAGCAAGAACAAAAAGACAGAGGAAGCTGAACCGAAAAAGTTTTCTTTCTGTTCTCTCTTGCAAAAGTATTGCAGAGGAATAATCTTTGTACAGCACACACAATGCGCACTCACACTGCTTTACATTTAATTGATGGCCTTAGCTTTAGGACCACACAAAAACACTACTTTTAATCTTAGTCACTCATCAACCTAATTACATGGATCAAATACCACATGGCACTCATGGCCTTACATCATTTAACCTTACACTTGGCAG